GGATGTATTCTTGCAAGAGTATGAGTATGAACACTTTGCTGTCTATCACGCGATACTAACTTCGACCGTTAATTTGAATTTTTGACCTACCAAATCTTTGAAAATCAAGGATTGCGAGTCCCATACTGCACAGTTTTTCTTCAAACTTGTTCCATTCAAAGCATAACAAAAATGCCTTTCTGTTGGTACATTTTTCTGTTATACAGAGTCCCTACTTTCTGCGGCATTTCACAGCTGGGGACCAAAACGCTGCTAAAACGAGGGACTCTTTACAATAAAGCAATGCACCGACAGAAAGGCAATTTTGTTTTACTTTGAATGGAACAATTTTGAAGAAAAACGGTGCAGTATGAGACGCGCAATCCTTGATTTTCAAACATCTGGTAGGTCAAAAATTCAAATTAACGGTCGAAGTTAGTACCGCGTGTCTATGTCACACCTGCCACACCTTCCTCAAATATCCCATATGTCCTATGTACTGTTTAAAACTCGGGTCCGGGCTGAATTTTTCCCTACATTGCGAAATTAATGATTATTATGAAAAGGATGCATTGGTTTTATGTTTTCTTCCAATATTACACTGACATTCGCGATGTTTATAAATTGGTCCCAAGCTTATTTTGGCCTACTTTGCAAAAGGAATGGTTACTCGCTCAAACATGACCCAATATCAATGAATGATATACCATTGGAAAGAGGAGACACATGGCTTTAATTTATGGTACATTGAATGAAATCAATGCTGTTATCACTGATTTGGGCTTTTCCGAGATAACAATCTGTTGCGTTTTTGATACGCATGGTATATTGATTGTATATCGGCTCGTTATGTGCCTACAAAACCTCAGTAGCCAGGTATGGAATACTTAGATACGACATTAGTAACTTGGAGAAACATCAAATGACCATCGAAATCTTCCTGACATCTCACATTTTTTAAGGTATTGTAATAACGTATTTTTCTACATTGATGGTGTATAAATCATTCTTGAAATAAATATTTAAAAAACAAAAACTTTAACGTTATTGTTAAATTATAAAAGTAGAACCTACAACGTCTTCTGAATTATCATGGAGCCTTTGTGGTTCTCCTTTCTCTCAAAATTTCCTCTTCTTGGAACTTGGGGTGTCTCTGTTTAATAAAAGGCTCATTCCCCTGAACTTCATGCTTCCATCAAGTTGTCTTGAATTTATGTTGAAGTCTAATACACGATATATCCATCTATTTCTCCTATATATTTTGGTTCATTTATTTTGAAATCCAATGATATATAACTGTATAAAATGTTTGACGAAATCGTTCTGCTCTGATGACTTGAAGTTGCAATAAAAACATTTGAAACGTGGCCCTAGAATGAAACAGTATATATAATTAATAGAAATACTTTACTTGGTCTTTCGTGTACGTTTATTTGAAGAACCTCAATATTTAATGGAATGTAATGAAGCTTTCCTCGTGATCGAAGCGGGTACTCGTGAAATCTGCTCCTGATTTCAGCGGGACCTCCTCATGTTTTCAGCGGGGCTTCCTCATAATTTCAGCGGGGCCACTGGAACACCTCCAATGGTGTATTTCACCCCCCACAGGAGATGTTATTGTAAACTAACTTATCAATACATACAATGTTGATCCAATATTCATTATGAGGAATGCATATTGTAGTTCTTGTCTCAATTTTAACGGCAAAAGTAATTTTGTTACAGTAAATTATGTAAACGTGCATACTTGCGCCAGTTTCTTCCATGCCGATAAACATATTTATCGTTCATGTCATTGTTTGTGAAGATATACCTGTTCTGAAAGTAAACCTCAAGTTTCAAAGAACAGTAATGCGTACTCTTACCATTTTTGTCCATATTACCAGGTGACACAAATAAAAAGGACTTTGCTCGTGATTTCAGCGGGAACTTGCTCGCGATTTCTAAATCATGGCGGGGCTTTAGATACTACCCGTGTTTTTACTCTGTCGGAGAGAAGGAATCAAAAGAGAGCAATAATTCTACACGTGCGTCGTGCAAGATTTCCATTAAACGTGTAACTAAACGGCCTCTCTAATAAAGTCAATTAGACGTTTTTACACGTTGACTCTCCAAATTGGAGGAAATAAAGAATCATATCATATTATATCATAGATGAAGCAATCATTCCATCAACATAAGCTCACGAATGTCACAATTAAACTGTTTTAGTTATAATTTGATATACAGTGGTAACGTACATCTACTAGTTATCACTGTTCCACAGATGGATGACAGATAATTTCCAATAGCTCATCATGTTTACCGAGAACGAAAGATGTTTGTCCACCATTTTGAATGATACTAACTGGAGTCAGGGTCATCAAGCTATGGAACAGTGGTTTATGGAAATAGATTGGGTTACTAAAGCTTGCCATGTTAAAGGCGATTGAACTATGTTATAGAGCAACGTCCAGTACATTATAATATTTAAAAGTATAAATTTTTGAAAATACATATAAAGGATCTTCGCCCGCAGGGTAATGGGTAACGGTGTTGCAATAGTAGCATTTAAAAATCTGTTCCTCTCGAGATTTATGGTCTTCTGAAATTATACTATTAATTGGTGTTGCTGCATCATTGCTCAAATCTAGAGGAGTGTTGTTGCATCTTCGGTTTGGTGTTGTTGCATCAATAGTGAGGAACTAAAACCGTGAACTTATTGCTTCTTGGTGATGGTACATGTATACTAATGACAGTTTCTTTAAATATAGATCGTGCGCTAACTGCACGTGTATGGTTATTGAGCAACTCGTCCTAGAAATGTGTTTAATTGGGGAAACAAAATATCGTACGAAAATCTATCACCGGAAGTCTGGCCATCTTGATGCAACAACACGGTGTTGTTGCATCACGATACTCCCCAGTGGTTATGATTCTGTTTCCAGAGATTATGCATTTTTATGAGACCACCAGAAGTGGTGATAGGTTATATTGTTATAGTCTCCAACTTTTTTGGGGGACGGTGTTCGGCGGGCAGCGTCTATAACAAATGGCAGGTTGTGACATTTTGCATGTTAATGCCTTGTATTTTCATTAGGGTTCAAGTTAGTACAAAGACGATTTATATCAATGAAATATTTACAAGTTTATTTACAATCGTAAAAATACAAAAATTGTATGTACATTTTAAGGTCATGAATCAGCGTGTAAACAGCGATTGTGAGATACCTTCATTGCATTGTTTTGGTACCATTGTCATATTCATGTTTTCAAGTTTCACAAACACTAATCTAATGTTCTACAGGCTACTAATACTGCAAAAATTTGGCACCTTAATTAAAAGCGTTTTGCTCAATAGCTTCTCATTGAATAAATATTACATCGTCGTTATCTCAAACAATGAGTACGTTGATGCAACTGATTCTTGTCATAGTAGATCAATTTCAATCATTGAAGCAGAATAATGATCAATACATTTGTCAACTAGTAACATCAACAATAGTTGGTATAGTGCAAGTGCAAGGTATAAACTTATCCATCAAGAATTCATCATTGTAAAAAGATTGTACCCTTATTAATATTTCCAGTTGTCATATCATTGTGCATGGACGCACTACATCTGGTTACTTCTACTATTGATGTTTCTCTTCAACCATGAACACTGAACCGTGCACACACATAGGAAAAACCTTCAGTAACGCAATTTTATTGTTTAAGCATAATGAACTCACAAAGGTCATCTATTAGACTCCACTTTAAAAATCACAAACTTGAAGCATCCGAGGAGTAGTAAGCTGTACCGTGTGTCATCCAGATGTTTGGTAATAGTATAGTTTCCATATAGCTTTTGAAATCTCGCTAAATCTCGTTTTTCGTGAGATTTTAAGAGACTTGCATATTAGACCTCTAATGACTTACATTACCTTCTTTTAAATGGTATATTTGAATTCAGTGGAATGTTTTCTCCTAAAATAGCTTTGATTTACACAGTTATGTAATTTGAATAATTTTCTATGACAATTTAAAAAAAGTTGGGCCAAATGTCCATAGATGCAATGCTAAAATTCTTTAAAACCGTGGATTATTTGTGTGTCAATCAACATTAGCATGTTTAATCACAACATGTTCATAAACAGGGTCATCATGTGGTATATCATTCAAGTTTTATACAGATTCAACAAACACACTTTGATAAATCATGAAATTAAGCCACTTTTCCAAGATTTTAGCATGTAAGTGAATGGAGCTCTAGCCAGAGTTAAAAGCTGAATAAAAGTCGGCAGCACGAGATTTCATTGATCTTTCTGCTATTTAGAAACTATCCTATTAGGTCAAATTCCTATCTAGGTCAAATGATCTAGCTAATTCCTTTAATATTTTAACTTTCCCCAACTATGGTGAAATTCCGACTGCATTTGAAATTCTTGAGAGAGAAATGATAAATATTTTATGAAATGTTCAAATGGTTCTCAATCAAAGTAGAGATTCGATTTGAGGTGTCATCAACATTATTCAATAACATCCATTTCATCTCTCTATTGCACTTGTTATAACATGTCCATTCCATATCTCATATAAACCTTGGGAACCGCGAGCTTGCATTATTGACAATTACAATCAATTCACAGTCAGCTTGTACAAAATCTGTAATAGGCATAATGACATTTGACAAAAATTGGCGGTTATCCTACGATTATGATACTTAGAGGAATGACACATTGATATCTCAAAATTATTTACAACATTGTAGTATTTGTTTTTTAATGCATTTGCGTATTAAGCATTTACCTCATGATTATTGTGTTATCTGTACAATAATATCAAGTGATATTTCTGATATCCATGTGATCTTTTTCAGAAACTCATTCATCAGCCTCGTATGCGGATATCGTACATCAGACGTATACGACTGGTAAACGAATTGGATGTTTTTAAATTTTTGATAGTAATCATGGGATAAACTCAATATCAAATCATTTCTACTGATATCATTTTATTGCCTCTTAGTCTTAGATATCGACTCTTCGATAAAAAATGACATCACTCAAAATGATCTGATATTCCATGGGCTTTCAACTAGTCATGGTATATACAACACACCTAGTGAGGAAATATCAATTAAGATTTAAAACAAACTCTGATCAAAAGATGTAAATAAAAATCAAAAGACATCACATACAAAAAGCCTAATCTAAATATAAAAAATATAAAAATATCAAATTGTTGTGAATCATGTGTACTTTAAAGCAGCTGTTATGCAACCCGTTTGAGAATTGTAGTTTCACTTTTTATTATGTGACTGCGCATGCGTTGAAGTGGATTCCTGCTATACATCAAGTGGCGCCATCTGTTCTCTAATAGGAGCATTGTTTGGTGGTGAGGAGTACAGGTTCTCATTTCTTGCTGGAAGGGCTGGGGCTTCTTGGTGTTTATAGGATTTGGGGACCATATATCCTTCATCCGGGTTCCCAAGGACGCTGTACTCATTCTCTGGCTCTGAGTATACCAATGGAATATTCTCTTCTGGACGAACAGCGCCATCTTGCAAAGTGCGATTTGGAATGGCAATTGTGCCGGACGCGACTCCATTTAGGGTACGCGCATTTTCAGCATCCATGTCATGAGTTTCTTTAACGTCTGGTATGGTGCTCACTTGTAGGTATGTCTCATTGTTGAAAACGGGTGTACAGTTTTTGACAATATTCCGCCTAGTGTTTTCACCAATTGAGGCATAAACACTATCGTCAAGTTCATGGTCATTCTCAACTGTCTTCTTCGATCGGTGCCTAAAACGCAAATAAAGCAGGACAAGATTAGCGTCAGATATAAGGGACTTTCGTACCGGACAAAAAGTGGTTGTTTGCTTCATTTATACGTAAACATTGATACTCTAGGGGCGAGGAGGGAAATTCTCAATAAATGGAGTATAGTTGGTTTGGCAGCATTTTCAGTTAGGGGAGAGTCTTGGATGAAATTTCCACCTAGGTGATAGCTTCACAGAGTGGTAGGAAGTTCTTTTTTTTGAAGAGTTAGCCCCCTACCCCACAAAAACACCCCACCCCGGGGAAAAACATTGTTCACACTAAATAACCTTAGATATTTTGAGGTTTGTAAGTGACATACATAGATATTATATATATGAATCATTTGCAGTATAATTGATGCTGATTACTCCTAAGAAAATTGAATATTAGTACAAAGTGTGTACCCCAGGGGGCAAATTCGTGAGCCATTTCCTTACTATTTTGATCCTAACTTTTCAACTAGACACTTTAAGAGGTTGAAAAAATTCATGTGAAGTGCCCAATAGCAGGGTTAGTAACCCTGAAAGATGCAAAGCCATGGAAGAGGTAGGAGCTGAGAAAAAAATTGTTGATTTTTCGAAAAATTTGACATTTTTGACAGCTGGATTTTGTGTATGACTATAGCTGACCCCTATAGTTCCTGGATCCATCCCTCTATGATGATATATATGGTTTTATAGTGTGGAACTAAGATGTAAAACATAATTAAGATGGGTTTTAAGGAAGTTTAAGGTTTTAAACAAGTCCAAAATTTTAAAAATTGTAAATATAAGGTTTCAAATTTACAAATTCCAGGTAGAGCCATGGCAGACCCCTATAGTTTCTAGATCCATCCCTCTATGGTGATACTTATGGTATTGCTGTATGGAACTAATATGAAAAAACACAATTTAGATGGGTTTTAAGGAAGTTTAAGGTTTTAAACAAGTTCAAAATTTGAAAAATTGTAAATATAAGGTTTCAAATTTACGAATTTCAGGTATAGCCATGGCTGACCCTTATGGTTTTTACATCCATACCTCTATGATTAAATATACAGTTTTAGAGTGTGGGACTAAGATTTAACATACCCAAAATGAATTTTAAGAAAGTTTAAGGTTTTAAACAAGTCAAAAATTTGAAGAATTGTAAATGTAAGTTTTCAAATTTATGAATTTCAGGTATAGCCAAAGATGACCCTCATGGCTTTTTTACATCTATACCTCAGTGATGAGATATATATTTTAGAGTATTTAACTAAAATGTAAAAGATGCATAAGATGAGTTTGAAGGAAGTTCAAGGTTTTAAACAAGTGCAAAATTTGAAAAATTGATCTCGAAAATTGGTCTCAAATTCACGTTATTCAGGTACAGCCTTGGATGAGCCCTGATAATCGAAGGTTATGAGAATAATAGTAACAACTGTGATATCATAGCTTAGAGACCAGGTGTAGAATATATACCTGTTGCAGCAGTTAGTCTGCTGCATATAGATGGAGTGAAAAGTCATGAAAATCTTTCTAATCTGAATGCTACTAGATATAGTATTTGGACCAGCTAAAAGCGTTCAAATTAGAAGTGTTTGAATTTTGAGGTTTTTACATCTGCAATATTCTGGATTTTGAAGAAATATGAATGCATTGAAAAATGAATGAAAATATTAATAAATATTAATAATATTTATACTGACCACCCAAAAAGCTTAATAGCATTCCAAAATCTAATTCAAAAGTTTTGATATCATAACAATTCAGTGTTAAACTGACAATATTTGAGCAATTTTGTAAGAAATATGTGATATTTGGTAAAAAAAAAAGTTCAAGTTAAACAGGTTGATTTTTCAAATATGAATGTTCACTGTTCGAATTAAGAGGTGTTCAGATTTCAATTTTTAAACATAGGAGTCAATGGGAGGAAGGAAAAATTGGACTGGGGAAAAGTGTTCAGATTGGTTGGTTTTCAGATAAGTCAGGTGTTGGGCCGATGATTGGTAGGTGTTCACAATAGTCAGATGTTGGGATATACAGGTTTCACTGCTGATATATCATTTATACAAGATGATGAACTAGAATTACTGTACTAGGCGCCTTTGATAATTTTTACCACAATGTTATACTATGTCAGGAAAAGAAAGCACCCATGACACTGTGCTTGTACAACTTGAAAATCAACAACACTTTAACATTTGATAAAGGTGTCTACCAAATGAGTAATCCACATAAATTCAAATACAAGCACTTGGCATGCTATTCCCTATGATCATTAGTTTCATTAGTTTCTCTAGAATCTAAAACTGACCTTGGGTTTATGAGAGTAGTAAATTGGAATGCAGTTATATGGAATATTGAATTGGCTGGAATTGGACACACCTTGCCTAGAAATGTGTGAGTAAACTATGATCTTATATGGATACAAACAGTTCGTTTGACAATAATCATCTATCTTATCCTGTAAAATCAGAACTTAAAAAGGGGTTTGAAATGGAGATCGATGAAACCATACCACAAATTGATAAAACTTTACGGATTGATGCAATGGCTATGACAAAGGGAAAATGAAGATTAACTTATATGTTGAAATTTGGAGAGTTTTGGAAAGCTATATTTGACTACTCCATCAAATCTAGTAAAGGAGCCCAAAGAATAGATTTCATATTAGACTCCTAGCTAGTTGTCTCCATCAGTAAAGGATTCTGAAAGAATGCGAAGAATGGATGCTTCCCCTATTGAACTTTAATCCATAGAAGAAATTACACCATTACCTAAAAATATGAATACCTTTGTCCAAGTAATATAAGACAAATTTTCAAAGATTACAAAGAAATTCAATAAAGCAGCATTCTAAAAGTGTGCCAAATGTCAAGATTGTTTTAAGTGGAACTATTGGAGAGAACTCAAATATCTGTGAAAATGATAACTGAATTCTCCTGTTAAATTCCACTCCTGAAGAGGCTGATTTTAAAATTATTCACTCTGTTTTGCATTCAGCAGAACATGTGGGGCTGCAGTAATTTGCATCAAATGACTCTGATATTATAATTTTATGACTATCATTTCAATAAATGAAAAGAATTCTTCAACTATGCTAGAAAATGTCATCTGCAAAGTCAGTATGTAAACATTTTCTACAATGTCTGTTTGTTTGAAACATATTGATCATATCACCATATATACTTTTTTGATCTACATGAAGATTTTAATGTGACAAGACCCTTTTACCCTAGAGTTCCTTATATCATTGCACTAACGGAAGCTTCTAGGCCCGGGGGGGGGTATGATCCTTATAATCCTTATTTTCCCAAATAATTACTGTTGCCTGATGACAAATTGTTTTATTGGGAGTGTAGTGATTATAATTTGATAATTCATAACAACATTTTGTATTAGGAGATGATCATTGCTTAATTACAGAAGGGGCATAACAAAATATAGAGAAAACATGTTTCTTTTAATTAACCATGTCTTTATGTATTTTGATAATGCAGAACATTACATCGAACATGTTGATGTGAAAAATTAAAAATGCTATATCACATAATAAATATCATCAAATAATAATTAGTTAGTTATAATCCATTTAATCAATCAATTACTACACTGTATATGATATCCCTAGGAGCAGTTACATTTACTGGGGGATTTATTAACCTCTCACCCCCTTAGGAACTCAAGGGTTATTTTCTGAGGATTTGAGGAGGTGCATATGTTAGGCCAATGCATTTCCTCCAGGAAAAGCAACCATAGAGATGATAAAATAATTTCTATTTTGAGACAGGGAAGGTGCAAACAACCCACCCACATGCATAAATATATATGTGTATATGTATAAATATATGTGTTTTTACATACAGTTAACCCCTTTAAATGAAAAATAAATTCCATCAGGGATTTTAAAGATATCAAATATGGGTGACCAAAATTAAGCTGAAAGCAATGGATCACATGAGTTTTCCCTATGGGAAAATAACAGGAAAATATTGTTTTCCGCTTTATCTAAAAGAAATTTATCCTTTTAATGGTTAACCACCCTATGCAGACAGAGCCTGTGGGAAATATTGGGTGCGGCGCAAATGAGCGGAGGGTGCGGAGCTAACGGTCATTTTTGAATTTAAAATTGGGATATTTCTGAAACTAAGCCGTTTTGGGACTTCAAATATACCAAGATATGTGTATTTGACACCAAATATCAATACAATTGTGAAAATAGTAGTGCAATTCATTTTATAGCGACGCAGTATGCCTTAAACATTTCCCAGACCTATATATTTTGAGACTATCCTTTTAATACTGCGTCCCCAGCATTCATAAAAAATGGTGTTCAAGATACACTACCCATGCAAATTATTTTTGCATCTTGAAAGCCAGGCAGTATCTGTGTGATTTTATAAAAATTCGGAAATGTTCTTCAGATATGAGCCCCCTCTAAATATTGGGTGCGGAGCTACGTTTATGGAGCTGCTCCGCACCCAATATTTAGAGGGGGCTCATATCTGAAAAAATTTCCGAATTTTTATAAAATCACACAGATACTGCCTGGCTTCCAAGATGCAAAAATAATTTGTATAGATAGTGCACCTTGAACACCATTTTTTATGAATGCTGGGGACTCAGTATTAAAAGGATAATTTCAAAATATATAGGTCTGGGAAAGGTTTAAGGCACACTGCGTCGCTATAGAATGAATTGCGCTACTATTTTCACAATTGTATTGATATTTGGTGTCAAATACACATATCTTGGTATATTTGAAGTCCCAAAACGGCTTAGTTTCAGAAATATCCCAAATTTAAATTCAAAAATAACCGTTAGCTCCGCACCCTCCGCTCATTTGCTCCGCACCCAATATTTCCCACAGGCTCTGTCTGCATAGGGTGTTAACTATGTCTCAAAACGCAACATATTGATGCAACAAAAATTGAAAAACCAGGGGTGAACGGGGTTGAAAATCAGGACGACATTTCCCAAAAAACATGTGGGTGGATTGTTTTCACCTTCGCTGTCTCAAATTCCAAACTATTTTATCATCTCTAAGAGTTCTTTTCCCGTAGGTAATGCAATGGCCTATCATATGCACCTGCTTAAATCCTCAGAAAACAGACAAAATCCAACATATGACTGTCTGAAATCTGTTGCGATACTTTCCGTGCTCCTCTGAGACCTGATATTTCTCAATTTGTCAAATATTGCACTTGTTAAAATTCTTAAACTTCCTTAAAATTCATCTTCGGTATGTTTTTCATCTTAGTTTCACACTCTAAAATTTAATGTTTCATCGCAGAGGTATTGATGAAAAAGCCATAAGGGTCATCCATGGCTATACCTAAAATTCGTAAATTTGAAACCTTATATTTACAATTTTTCAAATTTTGGACTTGTTTTAAATCATTAACTTCCTTAAAACCCATCTAAATTATGTTTTACATCTTTAGTTCCATACTACAAAACCATAAATATCATCAAAGAGGAATGGATCTAGAAACTATAGGGGTCAGCCATGGCTATAGCTGGAATTCGTAAATTTGAAACCTTACATTTACAATTTTTCGAATTTTGGACTTGTTTAAAACCTATAACTTCCTTAAAACCCATCTAATTTATGTTTTACATCTTAGTTTCACACTATGAAAGCATAAATATCATCAAAGATGGATGGATCTAGAAACTATAGGGGTCAGCCATGGCTATACCTGGAATTTGTAAATTTGAAACCTTATATTTACAATTTTTCAAATTTTGGACTTGTTTAAAACCTTAAACTTCCTTAAAACCCATCTTAATTATGTTTTACATCTTAGTTCCACACTATAAAACCATATATATCATCATAGAGGGATGGATCTAGAAACTATAGGGGTCAGCTATAGTCATACACAAAATCCAGTTGTCAAAAATGTCAAATTTTTCGAAAAATCAACAATTTTTTTCTCAGCTCCTACTTCTTCCATGGCTTTGCATCTTTCAGGGTTACTAACCCTGCTATTGGGCACTTCACATGAATTTTTTCAACCTCTTACAGTGTCTAATTGAAAAGTTAGAATCAAAACAGTAAGAAAATGAGTTACGAATTTGCCCCCTGGGGTACACACTTTGTACTGATATTCAAATTCTTTAGGAGTAATCAGCATCAATAATACTGCAAATTATTCATATATATAATATCTATGTATGTCACTTACAAACATCAAAATATCTAAGGTTATTTAGTGTGAACAATTTTTTCCCAAGGGTGGGGTGTTTTTGGGGGGTGGGGGGCTAACTCCTCAAAAAAGAACTTCCTACCACTCTGCGAAGCTATCACCTAGGTGGAAATTTCATCCAAGACTCTCCCCTAACTGAAAATACTGCCAAACCAACTATACACCATTTATTGAGAATTTTCCTCCTCGCCCCTTGAGTATGAAATATTTGGTGCGTTTTAATATGGACGTACATGTAAATATGTAATCATTGTGTCAAACCAATGTACATGACAATCCTCCACTCTCCCTTCTTTTCAACAACAGTTGGGATGTCAAACAACAATCTAGTAATAAATCTATTATTAATTATAATAGAGAAATGACTACATACCTTCTGTACCAGAATGCAAAGAGCAATAGGAACGCTATGATGACAATAAGGACAATTGGGATGATGATGAAATGGATGTGGCCCTCAATCCAAGACTGAAACAAAATGTATTGGCAATAAGTAAAACAATTTTACTTGAATTGTAGCAGGTTTAGTGGTGATGGTGTTGAGTGTGATGACATATAGTATTTGTGTGTGTTGGCGGTGCTGTGTGTGATTGTGGTATTGCTGTGTGTTACTGTTGTGCTGTGTGTGATTGTGGTATTGCTGTGTGTTACTGTTGTGCTGTGTGTGATTGTGGTATTGCTGTGTGTTACTGTTGTGCTGTGTGTGATTGTGGTATTGCTGTGTGTTACTGTTGTGCTGTGTGTGATTGTGGTATTGCTGTGTGTTACTGTTGTGCTGTATGTGGTGGTGTTGTTGCTGAGTTTGGTGGTGCGGTAAATTGTTTACTGTAGATGTCACGTGTGGTGGCAATAATGTGTGTTGGTGGTGCTGTGTGTGATTGTGGTATTGCTGTGTGTTACTGGTGTGCTGTGTGTTGTGGTGTTGTGCTGTGAGTGGTGGTGTTGTTGCTCAGTGTGGTGGTGGTAAAGTGTTACATGTTGTGCGTGGTGGCAGTAATTTGTATGATGGCGGTGATATGTCTGTTGGCGGTGCTTTGTGTGATTGTGGTATTGCTGTGCAATGGTGGTGTTGAATTTCTTTCATGACGTAAATCAGTTTCGCAATTATAGAAAATAACTATTCATAAAACAATATGGTAATAGAGAACACATGAGAATATCAAACACTATCCAATGCTATTTGTGAGATTGCATTAAATGTAAATTAAATCCTGGAATTATCTTACCCCATCTTTCTGTGGAGAGGAAACGGCCGCCATATCACCACGCAGAGGCTTGTCGTCATTATACTTTAACAATTTGACCTCTGGTGTGGGCTTTGGCTTTGTAGTTAAATTCACACTGATGGTAGTTGGACTTAATGTTGTTATAACTTGGGAACAGAATTCTCCACGGAATCCTTCTGCACAGATACACGTGTAGGAGTTAACCCCATCTTGGCAAGTGGAGTTATTTGTGCAGTTCGATTGAGAACAATCATCAATATTGATTTCGCACGTGATCCCCCTAAAGCCAATGGCACACTCGCAGGTGAACTCGTTGTGATTGTCAATACAAGTCCCCCCGTTAAGACAAGGGTAGCTGGCACATTCATCCACGGCTTTATCACAATTTTCACCATAAAATCCTGAAATTAATACAATCAAAATTATTTACCATTTTCTGACCAATCAAAGGCTAAGTAACACTTGTGGGAGCTACAGAAATAACCATGTGGAGTTTTTTAAAAACATAGCTTTTTAAAGCCTAACTGTATGATATCACCACATTCTGGAACCCTGGATCCAAGTTATGAGATATTTGAGACATTTCTAAGAAGTCTATTGTGCCATTCATAGAACAAGGAAGGAAATTGTTGATTGTTTCTAGCTCTTGGCCGGGGACGTGTAACTTGATGTCCGCTCGTTACTAATATCGCTCATAATTCGGATATTCATGATATGGTGAAAGTTGCTGCGAAGACAAGAACAACAGTTAGGCTAACCAGAATTGCATATCTTTGAACCAGAATCTGGATCGCATGTGTAATGACCGTAGTAATCATCTTGGGCCTGACAGTACACCGAGCAGTCACTCCCGTAGTAGTTGTAATCACAATACACTGAGACCTCTATATCAAGTCTGGAATAAGAAATAAGTTTTATGTTAAAATGGTGCACTGAATGTAAACTATCTTTTGGTCCCAATGACCCTCGTAGTCTGTATAATTTGAGAAAATCGTGGGCGTACATGTGGGATGGATGGGGCTGTTTTCATTTTGTCTTTTGGACTAGATCTCAAATCAGATTTTAAAATATCAACGTTTCAAATACAAAAAAATTACACTAGGGGTCTACGAGGTTCTATATTATAAATAAAAGTGCGCACGATGACCAACATGTAAATCGCATCACTAAAACCAAACTAAGACTATGCCTTGAATATTTATGAGAGTACAGTGGTATGCAGTTCATTTGTCTATTGAATTAAGATCTCAGCTTATGTTCAAGAACCCCGGACCAAATATCAAGTAAAATATATTTGGGAAAATGGTATACTTACTTTACTCGTCTTTGCATCCTAAACCTCTTTGGCGTTGCTTCAGCCCTTGATCTTGCCGCAGGGACGTAAACCTTTTTCGTCAGATAATCAACGAAATCGTCATCTCCTCCAAATACTTGTCCGGAATCATCATCCCAAATGTCAGCCTTGATCAGAATCCCACCCTAAAATATATTTGAAATAGATGCCATTGGTGAAGGTCCGTCTGCTTAACACAATTAACGTTTTCTTAACTATAAAGAACGGTCACTATACATATACAGATTATTTTCTCGAGAGAGTATTCGATATAAACAATATAAATGTAGAATATTTACCGGATATGATGTTAGCACATTTTGGAATGTCATGGGATTTGCTGTTGATCCACCAATTCTAGATCCAAATGAGATATGGCTACTCTCCGTTTTTCCTGTCCTGACTTTGCCGTAGGGACATACTTTACCATTGCTCGCCCTGTAAACGTAAGTGACACATTGAATTTCTTTTTTATGATTGAACACAAGCAATGAATTATCTAAAGTTCTGGCCAATAGGTAGCATAAATACTGATTTAAAAGTATTGACTTTTTATCTTGAACATGACCAAAATAATGCAATGCATCGCAAAAAACTTGTGAGATTTACTTTTACTTCACATAACTACTAGTTTCAGTCTATTATGATTTTCACTCACTGTTGGCTATCGACCGTGTCTAGACACATGATGAAGTAGTGGTCACAGCCGCCACGACCTCCGCCGGATTCGCAGAATATTCCTCGTCCATCGCAACAATGACCATTGTGGCCATGGCCGTTGGAGTTCTCAAAATATATCAGTTTTAGCGACACAGAGGCAGTACTCTCTATTGGCTGAAATGAAAAGATTTCACTGTAATTTTTCTTTCCGAGACGACACTCGTTTACATCACTTACAGATCGTACAATCCTCTCGAGATTAACTTTTCTAACTTGTTTCACGGCTGCAGATACTACACCCGTCATAGGCCGCAAACGAAACACCAAAGCATCCACAAAATATTTGAGAAACGCATCAATATAAATTACTGTTAAAGGTCTAGTTAAAAAGATTGAAAATTTTACAGTGAAACTTCGTTTGGTGACATATTAATTTCAATCAATTTGCCAGTGGTGTGACTGTATTGTAAGTTGACAGCAAACCCGTTTTCATGATGTAGCAACATCAATTATTCTCGATGCAACGAATCTGATGCAACGCTATGTTACTTTTAATGTTGCATCACAGTCCCAAATGTCTCTTAAATCGCATTACCCATAGTATTCATTATCTAAACAGAGAAATGTAAATGCCGAATGACTCTTTTGAATTTGTAGACACTATTCCTCACCAGACTATGCCCAGCTTTATCCCATCATTCAGTGGTGTTTTCATCGAAATTTACCCGCGCCCGCTCTTCTACAGTATCACAGTGAGTATTAAAATACCGAACGAACTTGGATTACTATTTATTTGCTTCTTTTCATTAGATAGACGAATGCAGTTGCGTTCACCGTGATGGAAATTGGAATTAGTGGAATATCATCATGAGACATGGGGTGATGCTCGTACGATGACTCCAGAAGAACGTAGAAAATTAGTATTTCACTCTTAATGCCTCATTAGATTGGCAATTCTGGAAAATTATATCAGACTGAAACTGATTTACCCCATATTAGATAAAAATTATAAGAATTATCGTTCGAAAATAAATGTGCACACGTTATTTGATCAAAGACAAAACTGAAAGTGCCTCGTATAAAACAAAAGAAACAGTCATTTATGACTATTTTGATATAATTTGTGATATTACATATTATGGTGAACTGGAATCATCAGAACGGAAGGCGTCAAATTCAGTCACCACGACCGATTCTCATTAATGTCAAATAACTAATGGATATGAAACGTTTGTTTCATTAAAAAAAAATTCAGTCACCACGACCCAGTCTATTTAATATAAATAACTGTATACAAAATGAAACTGTTGTTTTGGCGTTAATTTTTAAGATTTATGGCCTGTTCGCAATTACATCATAAAAAAACCCAAACGAAACTGAGTCATTTTGAAAATTATAGTCATTTAATTGAAAAAACGTGGCCCATCTTCAGCCAGTCAGTGTCACCAGGAAGTTGTGACGGTTTAGGTTTTCACTGCCTCTGACTTCGATGCCCACGTTGCAGACACCCCTGGTTTGACAAAAACATTAAAGTTTAGTAAAGTCAAGCTAATCTGTTTATAAAATACTCCTACACTCTGAGCAACTCACTGTGAGATGTCAATTATGGCTTCAAGAAACCACTTTTTCTTTTTACGCCTTTTATTTGACATTTACATATCTGATTTTTCTTTTGAATTCTTTGAATCTAGGGACAGACATCAATGACTGCGATCACTATATTCATGAAAAGAATAAATGCAGATAGTGTTTCGATTTCATATAATGTATAAACAACCTATGTTAGAAACTCAAAATGCAAAAACACTCAAATATTTAAAGTCAACTGAAAATGGATGCTGGGATACTTGCGAACATTTGGACATTGATCCCTGCAACTAGGAGTGCAGTTGCTGTATCTTATTGTTTGTATCATGTCACTTAACGTACACAAGATGGAATCTGGTTCTTATCATCCCAAAAAACAAAAATGCAGTCAAGGTTCCCGGAATCTTAGGTTTTGTGCGTTTTTTTAATTTTCATCATTTGAGCAACTGATGTGTAACGGAATTCCCATGGAATTGTGAAACTGTAAGCCAAAATTCTCATCATTATGTCTATAAATACCAAAATACTAGGATCCAGAATCTTCACATATTTTGAAACTGCACACCATTACCACAAAAACCTATAGAAATGTGAATATATCTGTGGTTTGGTTAGCCAGAGTTCAAGACGCATTCTTGGTTGTATTGTACTTGTATATTTCCACACATCAAAAACTTTAAAAAGGATACAATTTCTTGTACAACAGCTTAGTTTTGTATTCATAAATCATTATGTGCCGCTCTAAATTGTAAAACGAAGTTTTTAAAAATTGTTCTACAGTTACATTCCCCTGTTCGACAAGGTACAGATTACACTGAGAGAGATTACTGTGACTCCTTTGAAACATATCATGTAGCACAATATATATCTTCTAGATAAACGAAATTTTAAACTTTTCTCATGAGGTTATACCATGATCGAGCTGAGAGACGAATCCAAGTGATACCAAGACACTTAGTGCCATTGTGAAGATATACAAAGTTTAAACAATGCAATTTCTTGATGCACAATGTTCCAGTTTCCAATAACAAGTTCAGAGTACATCCTGAAAGACGTTGAAGGTTTAATCTCTAAATATACAGGCCTTGTAATCAGAAGAAGACTAACTTCATTAGTTGGACAATAATCTGACCTTGTACTTGTGGAAACAGTGGAGTTGTATCAGTGGATATGCCACTGGGAACGTATCTGGTTACCCTTTGCTGACTCATAATTCAGAATTTAGATTATGAAAACTATTATACAAGAGCAACACTTTGGCCCACTAATTACTTATCTTGGCCCGCTTGAATGCCAGGATTCTTCCTCGAGATATCTTACAAAAATAAACGAACACCAATAGTTTGGCTAAACTCGTTCTATCTTACATGACTTCTTCCTGCTCCTATCTTGATGCAATTAATTGTACTCCCGCTCTTGACTTTAATATTTCTATTTTGGTTTACTTGAATATGCATTGAGCTAATTTCAAAGATTGATTTTGTTGGCTGGTAAATATGTTCGATGACGTTCATTCGTGTGTTTGTGTATTTCAAAGTCGCCGCTTGTGATTTATGATTAAAAAGACATATGGGTAATAACTCATATCGGATATTAACACATATTTCTGTATCAGGCTGTTTGTCTGTCAGAACTAATCAGAGCAAGTATGCTGCTCCATAATCCAATGATGCAATAATCTTCTGTTATGAATGAATCAATGACGGCCCGGATAGGCGTTTTGAATCATCGTCCATCATCCATCACCCATCATCACTCGTTCTACATATAGCCTTCGTGGATGATTTGTTGATTTATCATATTTAAAAAATATATATACCCCATTTTTTATCAAGGATCATGTAAGGTGAAGGAAAAGTTAAATTGTGTTTATAACTTGGATAGTAAAAATATGTTAATCCCCACTTAGATACTGGTAAGTGTTATCATAGTACCAAGTCAATGCATCTAAGTGCTCTTAGAGGTCCACGATCGTCATAACCGGGGCAGCATTGCGATTAAAACGGCTCTTGTTATGCTATTCTGTATTTATATTTTGTTTTAATAGTCAATATGTTTTAATTTTCTTCCAATAAAATATCAATTGTATCAATGATTGTTGACATCTATTTAAAATCATTAATTATCCATTAAAATCTCTTATAGGATTCACAAAGGGACAGAATGCGCCATTTTAAATCATATTTAGCCAAGTTTTGTATGGAACCCTTGGTGTTATCTAGAGCACAGAGTTCATAATGTTGACAAGATGAAACATAAACCCCGTGTGCTGATACTTTAAGAACATGGTACACCCCGACATTTTCAAAGAATTCACTTCTAAGACATGTGTTATTCATGTCACTATTCTTCGAAAGAAAATGTGTTTTTATTTATTTTTCGTTTTTTACAGAATTGAAAAGATTTGTTTGCGGTTGAAACTGAATGAAAAGAGGAACAAACACTCCAGAAAGTATTCAATTGGAACTTAAATATGTGTGATTCAGTGATACAATGTCTTACATACAACTTCCCCCGATATTATCTTATTTCCAGGCCTTAAATAGGCCTTAATGTAGGCCTACTTTAAAAGAAAATTTTTTTTAGGATGCACCTCTGCATTACAGAAACACATATAAAATACGTAAGGAGGTCATGTGGGGACAAAGTCATGTTATGCACCTGGTATAAGAAAGAAGCTTCTTCCTGGATATGACTGCTTGATGCATCGGGTCAAAAGGAAGAGACATCAGTGCGAGCATGCAGCAAACAAAGAAAGAGCATCACATCGATCGCTAATTGGGAACGACAAAATTATGTTAAGGATGCTGACTTAGCCTCAAAATAATAAAACATCCCTAATATTCAGGATGTTGATTTTAAAACAAATCATTTCTGCCTTAATGAAGGTGTTGTCAAATGTGACAGCGTCTCAAACTGAATTTATTAACGGTCGCGAGACGTATTTTACAAATGAATACATCATAAATTAAAATTTACTTGTCTATCACTCGGTAGCAGAGTAGTTAGAGAATTTTTTTGAATGGGTGATATTTCTTTCTTCTATTCATCAAAGACGTGTTTCTATCATCAACATTTATTGAATTTGTCATGTGTAAGTTTTTTCAAAGGCAATGTGTGTGGTTATTGCTACGTCATTTTACTGGTGCATTCGCAAACAGATGTGAACTCATCATTATAAAAGTAGAACGTAAAAATATAAGCTGTTGGACTATAAGATAATATATCTATATCTATTAAACTGATATGCGCCAAATCAAACGAGAATCCAACATGCACTTATGCATTTCCAATTTGGTCGTGAAATTCAACGGCCAATTCACCAGTAAAAAGACGACTCTTTGCTATATATCTGTTGGAATTAATTAACAGATACATTCCTGAAATTACAATTTCTCCAGTAGAACAGAAATCCTTGTCGTTCTTGAATTTTCGTGCTAAAAAATTGGTTATTACAGATGTATACCAAGACGTTAAACCCATCATTCCATTGTATTTAAAGCAATTTAGGAATATTCTTAAAATGTTGTTCCTTTGTCCATAAAAAGGATGTAATGCTCATATTTAGAATGGATTATTTGGGCAGGATTGCCAGATAAAGGATGGGATATCTCGAAAGAGTTGCGAAAAATCAATAATTCCAAATAATCTTCACTCTTAAATCACCCCTGAGCTGCCGTAATTGCAATATCCGAACACATCAAGCAACTATTACGAACCTACAACAGGCGAAGCACAAGGGGAGGAGTGCGTATCAAGAAGCAGCAAATGAACCGTCCATGTGTGTTGATTACAGATGAAGAAGCCAATAAACTTGGTCATTAATGAGTATGGTTTCTTCCTCTCCCATTGCCAATTATCATACCCGTTGTTTGTTTATCAACAGATTGTTTATCAGTTTACCAAGCCAAGTGACAATGACAATAGTCTTTTGCCAAAATATATGTCCTACAATTGCACTTTGGACTCAGTTATGTCTTCCTATAATTGTCGTGAATTTTATTGGGAGATGGAGGGGGGGGGGTGGATTTCATTGAAACTGTTGTTACAAATGAAACCTAATAACTATCCATAATTGACGAAATTCCCAACAATGACTTGGACAGAGGTAAAGTAGAAGAACCACGCAAATGTGTTTAACAAACGCCTAACAAATGACAAGTCCTACGCCTAATTTAAACTAACCTATCGTCTCATTTTGATGTTTTTCAATACTGCTTAGATGAATTAATCATAATTTAGGTAGAAAAACAATCTCCGTTGTATCCAAACAGGTCGTAATAACCCAAACAATTTTCACAAAGGTTAGTTAATAAAAACTGCAAAATAACTTTAGCAAACCTCAACCATTTCTGTGCCAAGTTAGTCAATCACCAATGACAAATAGCTAAGTACATCTAAAAAATGTAAGTTAAACCGTAGCAAGAAAAACGATCCAGAAGCACATCTGCCAGTAGTTAGCACATTTATCATTCTTCAAGACCAAAGCGTTTAGAGTTGGTTTCAGGACTTTGTCCCAAACCTGACCTTATAACCTTGCTTCCTTTCTCTATTTTTGGCTAATCAACTCAAGAAGCAACATCAGTCCAGTGCATAGCCTAAAGAAAACATGGTAATTCAGTCGAATATTATAGTATTTCTTGAAACTATGCGTCGTACTGCACAGTATGTTTATCAACAAGTCGTTTCAGGAAACAGCCATTTATTTAATTGTATTCTGATCTTTTTATCTTTCCATTCCATAAAGATATGGATAGGTATTTAGGTTGCTTAAGAATCTGCCTTTTCGTAAGCTAATAAAGTTGGAAAGTTCAAATTAAAATAAGAAATGGAATGAGCTAATTGAACGGTATATTTAAACTTTCCACCGAACAAAGGGCGGCGTAAGTAAAAAAAAATCCTAAAAGTACCCATGGGCGTTAAAACAGGTAGGCGTCAATTCAGGAAATACCCAGTCTGCTACATGGTAAATGTTTGAAATGAATGCTCTATAGAAGATCAGTATTAGGGAAATACCAGGAACTCAGGAAATAACCAGTTAAAGGATGAGTCTGGGAATGAGTCTGGGTATCGACTTAGAAAATATTGAAAATTGTAATGTCTGAAAAACCAAGTCAATCACACATATTATTAAACTTCAATATCTTATCCTTCTTCTGAGATTACAAAAATATCAATTTGTATCACAATTGATGAAGAATATTGGCATCAAAGACAGTACATATCACTTTGTCAGAATTGAAAAAAAATCAATGGCAAATATTAAATAAATTATTTATGCAAAAAGTTTGAAACATATCTTCCAAAACATTGGTTACTTTCTTTGAATAGACATTGAATGGTATTTCTGGATAAGTGAATTGGTGTTTATCTGGGTAATCAAGGGATTATAGTCACTCAAAGTTACTGAGCATCCAGTTTTGAGACTTCAATTGTGTTGGTGATGTTACCCACATTTCAGTCAAATTCATGCTGAGCACAACATTTTGGTTTCAATTTTATAATCTCTATACATGACCCTGGTGATGAAGAGTCAGAATCAGTCAAAAAACCTAAACCGGAAAACTGTGCTCATTGTGAAAACTAAAAGTGAAGCAACTTTTTTCCTGATATTTCTTACAACAAATGGCAACCATTTTGTTTTTCCCCCTTCAAATTAAACTGGCGGGAAATTCAAAAATTTGAAAAAATTTTTAATCCTTAAATATGTTTCAAAAATATGATTTTCTTTTTAATTCTTCATCGGTCTTAAGTTATTTCTTCATTGTATGTCATACATGTTGCCATTGGTGTTTTTTTCTATGATAATGACTATTTTTTTGTTTGTTAAGATACTTATTCTGACTCTCAGCAGGGGGTTAATTATGCATCAAAATTCGTGAAAAAGTAAATATACTTATTAAATATAACTAGGACAGTAATAAAAACCATATTTCACATACATTTGACTGAGGAACCAAAAGGCATATACCCAGACACATCCTTTAAATAAAGTCTCGATCATCCTGAATCACAAAAAACATATCTATATTAAAAAATAACGCGTTTCTTTTAATTATCTGCTTGGAAAGACTCGTCGACACATTGCAAACAGGATGCAATTAATCTGTTTAATCATGTACCAGTTAATTTGAAAGCAGACTTGCTGTGATTAAAAGTGATGATGAAGTTAAAGCAGTGATTGACGATGAAGCAAAGGTGTTGAAAGAAGCATTAATACAATGATAGGGCTACACTTGTGAGCTGACAAAGGGAGGGGTCAGAATTGAAGTGTATTGTTCAAAATTTCGGAAATATCTCTCGAAAGCCCGTTACATTACCATTGTATGTTACTTTGACGACTTACAAAAGCGATGGTCTAAATGCATGAATTACAGCTTTATTTTAAAATCAAATTCCAAGCCGAGAGCATTTCTAAAAGCTAGACTATATTGTCTAACTTTGTACCAAATGATAATCCGCAACGGGACTTATACGTAACTTTAAATCGAGAAAACAAAAATCGCGTATCCAGGAAGTTCATCCATTTTGTTACATTGACGTTCCGTCAAAGTAACTAGTTGTGGAACAGTGGTAAGGTTATCAGTTAAAAAGTAGATCATCAAACGACCCGAATACAATTATTGGAAATGATAACCTATATGAAGCCATTTATAAAAGGCATCATTAATTAATTATTTACAAAAAGGAAATATGGATGATTATAATTTACCTCATTCACGTATTCAGAATACAGGATGTTGGGAACTGAAATGTGATAATTACAAATGGTTCCAAATCAAGTGTACATTTATCCATTTTGTTTAATACGGATTCCGAAAGCTGATTTTTACCATGAAAATAAAGATTTATATAATAATAAATATAAATATTGAAAATATGCAAATATGCACATTTCACCTTCGGAAATATTTAAGAGTTGTTAGACAGTGTCAATCGGTGTCTTTTAATCTTCAACTAAAAGTCATGACGACTTTCATGATAACGCATGTACAGGTGTGTACATAAGGTCGTTGCATGCTAAATATCATTTATTTCTGTATTGGCTGACTGAGATTTATTTGTTCTTTTTACACTTTTCTTAAATTGTTAACACCGTGTTTATGAATAGCTGAGTACAAATAAAATCAAGATCAGGTATTTCCTCCCAAGAATAAGTTATGTTTTAATTTCAACATTTTGTCCAGAATCTTTCTCTAGGCCATCTTTCTTTGATTTAAAAACGATGAATATCATTTTCAATACATCAATTGTTTAAAAAGTCCATTTTGTATACCAGAACCTCGGGGTCTCAGCTACATCTAAAAATGAATGACTTTGGGACTACACGATCACCAGATCACGTTATGGCGAATGGGTAAACGTAGTTGTGTCAAACCATGTTACACGTCCAAATACTCAAGACACTTTGAGAAGTGGGGGAACAAAATTCAATCAAAACATCCCCCAAACTTAAGTGTCTATACTATTTTCCTAATAAGAGAAAGAACTTATATTCTGGCTCTTAATTGTATTCCCGCGTTCGGAGGATGATCCATTATGAAGGAATTTTGTTATTGCGTGTTTTCCTTTATTACCTTCGTGTATTGTATAATGTCCTATGGACTGAACCTATTAAGGTGGTCATAATATAACATTATATTGAAAGCCCATAGCCAAACCAACTCATGTCTAGCAATATTTTAACATTGAGAATGTAAATACCCCGTGGATTTGGGTTAGCCTTTCCAAAGGGTAAAAACAAACAAATTGGAAATTTCTCAAATCTCAGATATTTCAGTCTAACAAAATCTGTTGGTCTTTGACCACAAAATTTAGGTGTGGGAATGTGTTTCCTCTTTAAGTTTTCAAGTTTTATTCAGTTTACGTTTGAAACAGTACAGTATAAACCATTTACTGTCACTCACGAGAACTGTATACATATAGAGGCCTATACATTATATACATGTGTACTTAACTGCCTATATATTGTAAGCACCTGTGGTAAGTGATTGGATTTATCGTGTCCTTTACATTGGAAAATTTCCCATTAGCCACGATATGTAACCCATGAGGGTATCATTAAGACTACTAACCTTAATATGTATTACAGCCAATATTAGAAGTCCTAAATATGCTACGTATGGTTTCTGTTCCATTATTTAAAATAAAGTGTCCGATTTTCGTCTTGTCTCCGACTTAAATATCTCGACTTGTTATCATCCTGTTCTCGCTATTCTACTTCTTGTGTTACTGTGTTTGTAAATACAGAGGGTTCAACCAATATATCAGCGCGGGTGATTCACTCCGCATTCATTATTGGTCTAATTTCAAGGACGTACCATTTGATGATTAACTAGGACTGGAGGTTTCTATTTACACATAGGTGCTAGATTTACACCAGAACAGGATTGATTAGTAGTATTTTACTTAATTGATCAGATTATTTTCTTCACGATTCAAACATCCTTCGAATACAGGGCTACAGAGCTTGTTCTAGATGGAGCCCTAAAAGACATCGGTTCCAATCATGTACCTTTAAAGGACAATGTTCCAATACAACATTGGAAAGTTTCAACTTCACATTTCTAGTAAGCTTTTAAAGTTTCAATGTTACACGTCCAATTAACCAATTTGGTTTTACGAACAGCGCGACTCAATTGGCGTCAATCAAACTTAAAAAATAAGCAATCAAAAGACCATACTAATAATGCTATATGGAAAGATTCATTCATATTTTAGATGAAAATGTTTGTATGTTCGGATTGCTTGTTGTTTGGCTAATAAAATGTGTGGCCTCTTGCACTATGATTCTTCTCTGACATGTTATGACATGGCTGAACTCCCTAAATTACAAGGGGCCACAGGTTTACTGCACATAAAACTTATTTATCTGAAATAAACATATGTTTTGCATATAAAAGTACGAATGTATTTTGCTATTAAATATTTCTATTGTGGTCATTTCTTTGGTGGCTTATTTTTCAGTTCTTCGGCTTCATTGGCTCACACTATACATTCTCTTTTTTGAAGAAATCACCTGAAAAATAAGTTATTCTAGAACAATGAAGGAATCTACATGAATATAAAATAACCATCAAACTAGTCGGTTTTAATTTTTCCCATGTGTATCCAGTAGGTACACTGAAAGGTGATAATCCCAACCTATATTGTTTTTCCACGGCGGTCATTTGAGGTAAAAAGGTCATTAAAAAATTAGAATTACGATTTTCACCTCTTCAAATTACAATACAAATGTGTTTCATTTTTACGAAAAATGCATGTAAGTACTCATGTAATATTGACTTTACCACCTTACTTCGAATTCACTTTCCACTTGAAGCTCATCGTCTGTGCGTCAATAAGAAAGGATGGGTATCGATATTTCGAACTTTTTGAACACATGTTTCTCTTAAACCAGTCATAAAAAAATCTGAAAATTTTACACATTGTCAATTTAATGGTCATCTTTTGAATGGTAACAATATAATTTGAAATAGATGTATATATTTTTTCTCTTTATTGTTTTAGAAAACACATCGGACACTTCTTTTGTTCTTGGTATCATATGTTCAGAATGAAATGGAACATCTATCCGAACCTCATTGGAACAAAATGACATAAACACAACGTGTTTATGTCTCTCAATATTGTAATTATACAAAGGAAAGTTTGGTTGATTTAAAAAGGTATCTTGTTAATGAAATTATAAGTTTATCTTAATTATTATCTATTTCGGGGGTTTTTGTTTTAATTTTTTGAATACTTTTTGTTAAATCAACCAAAATTTCCTTTGTACAACTATAATATTACAATTGCACTAAAAACAAAATATATTAACACAAACAGTTATAAAAATATATATAAATTATTTTCGCATTAAATTGTTGTCAATCAGTCAACATTACATAAAGGACCGTGTTTTTTACAGAATGTTTTCAATAATTGGTTTAAGAGAAAAACATTGTTGAATTCAGTTCTCCATATCGATACCAATCCTTTACATTTCAACATAAACCCCTGTACTATTTAGACAAAAAAGTAACCTTTTACTAATAACGGTAGAATTCAATAAAAGCTAAACGCATTGCGTTTTTTAATATTTACTGATACTTCACTGTAGAAACTAGGTTGACAGGTCTGGTAATTATGAAGGTTAAAAGTGCCACTTTCTTCGCCCAACATTGAGGAAAACCATTCAGTACCCTGCTTGCAGAGTCTAGTTAAACTACGAAGCTCTCTTTTAAGAAGTGAAGTCAAACGAATGCAAAGGGTAACCATTCAGATACTCAGATCATCTTTCTGTTTTATCTAACATGACAATCGTATCCGACGGATACTACACTCCGCTCCATAAGTTTAGCAACCCAAACTCCCTTATGGGACTACTCTTTATGTGTGAATAAACTTATGATAAAGGTGGAAATGTAGCTTGACTTCATTTCCAATGCCTTTAAATTATGCCATTTTTCTCAATTACAATAGGTCGAAAAGTGATGACATTGATGAATTTTTGAAAATTGTCATTCCCATGTAAACCAATGGGAAACGGTGGGTTCGGGGCAAATCAGATTTCTGGATATCTATTCAATAAATGCTTCACCAAAAATATATTTATATAAAAAATTTAATTATCTTACTTTAATAAACTCACGATCACATAAGTTGAACATGTCTTGCCCGTAGCCAGCTTTTACCAGGGGGGGGGAGCTTTTTTCCAGGGGGGAGCTTTTTCACAATTTTGGCTAAAAATCATGCGAAAAATTCTCAGAATGGTGAAAAACTGCATGATTTTGAAAGAATTTCTGGCCAGCTCCCCCTCTGGCTACGGGCCTGCATGTAAATACATAATCAAAAATTATAAAACCTCGTGAACGCTAATTATGTACAACCTTAAATTCAATTCAATTTTCTACCTTACTTCACTTGTATTTTTTGCGAGAACTCGAATAAATGGATATTCGGTCATATGACTTGCGACAAACCTATCAGCTCCCATTGGTTTAACATGAGAATGTAGATTTTCAAAACTTAGGCAGATTTGTCATCAATATCCGAACTGTTGTAATTGTTGAAAAAATTTAGAAAAATTGGAGGAAATTATGTCAATTTATATTTAAAAATAGTATTTTCTTGCCAGACTATGCACATAAAAATTCAAGGATAAATAGGCTGTAGCACAAGGGGGGGGGGGGGGGGTAGGTTTGCCAATCTTATGGAGGTGAGTGTATTTTTCATTAGTTTTGAATTTAGCGCCGAAAATGGCCAAGCATTATCACAATCTAAAACCATATGAAGAACCATGTTGAAGAGTGTATTGCGAATTTCAATACTCAGAAAAATAAAACGCATTGTGAAAATATCACCCATGAACAGTGCAAGTCGTCCAGCATGCCCAATATATGCCCAACTATATTCCAATACTTAGTAAAACTGAGTAGAGTATTTGACTGGATCATTATACAACCCAGTAAGGAAATGCTGACTTCTGTAACAGAAGTCAGAAGTTCTGTCACAAAATTCTCCTTTAAACTAGAAACAACTTATGAACAGATGTTACCCTAAATCACTAGAATATATAGTTTATTAAATTAAAGTTTATTGTTTTAAACAGTAGTTGCATAATACTCAATAAATCAAATCACAGACATCAAGAACATGTAGACGTTTTTCCCTCGAACACACAAACAGTAGGGAGCATATATACGAGTACATGTCTGAATATTTCAATTTATAACTGAGATTTATAATACGCCCAAATACGTTTTATGCTGCTTTATCATACACACTACTTGTGGACCAATTTTAATGCAATATTTGGTTCATGTGAGAGTTAAAATGATTAAAATAAACATTGCAATGTTGAAATATTAATTCAAAAGAACTGCCCAAACTGACTTCTTAGGAGAACATAAACATCTATCATAATATTATTTTTAAAACTATGTTTAATCTCCAAAATTGTCGAACGATAAGTGAAATCAGTGGTCCAAGGGTTGTTTATGCATTATCAACAGAGAAGACGGTTTAAGTCTCCTTTAAACAATCAACAGTTATTCTTAACAAGCCATTAACATGCAAAATGTCACCACCTTCCATTTGTTACACCAACACGACGAACACCAACTACCGAACACCAACTGCTGCCACAAAAAGTTGGAGACTATAACAATATGTCACCATATCAACATCAAAAAGTTATTCTAAAAAGCCTGATGAATCCATCACACTTATCAAATTGGCATATTTCTCTTGAAAATCCCTTTGTAATTGTTCTGATGCAGCTTCACTATGTGCTGCAGCTGTGTATTGTGTTACAGCATGTTGTGCTGCAACTTCACTTTGTGGTGGAGCTGTGTATTGTGTTACAACATGCTGTGCTGCAGCTGTGTATTGAGGTACAGCATGTTGTGCTGCAGCTTCACTATGTGCTACAATTGTGGTTTGTGCAACAATGTGCTGTGTAGAATCTCCGCTTAACTCAGACACCGACTGTTCAAGGCTTCCTCTCGTGTCTATTTGTGAAATCAATTTATTAACAAGTGCACCTTTGACATTACCCTTCTCTCCACATAACTCAATGGTGTTTCCTTTTGTCTCAGCATGTGGATTTATCTGATCAACAGGTTCATGATCGCCTTTAGCCTTTTCATTATCAGGTTTAGGAGGCCGTTTGATAAGTATCGTCGCATATGACTCAGAGTCCTGATTGAAAGTAGTAGGAGTTTCAAGCATCTGTAGCAATTCAGGCTGCTTCTCAAGCATATCAGTGAATAAATGCTGGATATCCATTGATGTGTTATCTGGAAACACGAGAAAAACATACTGCAATCCATCCTCGCTTTTCTTCCCAATTTTAATCATGACATTTTCAACATCATCATTAGCTGGACCTTGTAACGATAAACAGACTGTGTTCAGGTTTGGTTCCATGACGTTGATTATCTTCTTTGTTATTGGTTGAAAGTTTGTTCTGTGGGAAGGAAATAACTTTGGTATAGTCTGTAGTTGTGAGAACAGAGGTTTGGTCTTAATATTAATAGATCTCTTCTCTAAATTCTTGACCTGAAGATATATGTAATGAACACATAACATTTAAAACTATGCGGCTGATGAGTAAACAGTGAAAATCTGTAATGGTAAAATAAGTTGAAATATTGAAATGCAACATGACATTTTCAAGATTCATATGCATATGCAATCCATACAGTCTCCGAGCCTTTCGTCCAGTGCCATCCGTACCTTCTGTGCTTACCTCATGCAGATCTTTAAATTCCCGCGAAATTTACCCTTCTAAATATTTTGACCTGTTTCAAAAAAAATATTTCTTTGCGTTTGCTACTGATTTTATTCGTTATATTTTATGGAATATTTATTTCTTATGTAGTAAGAATTCATTCATAAGAAAAATATTAAGTAATTCGTAACAAACTGTTAAAAATGAAAACTTAGGAATTTGCAAGGGACTTCCGATCAGAAATTGTTTATTAACACCGTTGCTATGCAGTTCGTTTTGAAGTGACGTCATCCCCATATTCGTAATTTTCATCGTCTAATAAACGAATACCACATGTCGATGTGATGTTTTAATCGATAAAATTGAATTTCTTACATATTTCTCTATCTTGTTACTAGATAACAAGTTATGATATTGGTGAACTCGCCAGAAATTAACATAATATTATTTGAAGCGTTTTCAGAAAATTTTGACACCCCCATCTTGAAAACGTGTAGTAATGTTGATCCCAGTGATTATCGATCTTGACATTTTACAATTTGTTGCTCCGCGGAGATTTTTACCTAAAAACACATCAAATACAACGTAGATTTCCAATTTCGATGGTAAAATCATTTGTAAACGTTATAATTTATGTTATATCAAAGTTTCGGCGTTGTTGATAAAGTATTACAGATTGTACTAATTTCCGAAGCTTTCTAAGATCGTGCCCCGGGAATTTTAGAACTATTTTAACATTGTCAGAGAGGTAGTGAAGGTACGCAACGAACGAAATGAATTTTGAGAATGCAATCCATATTATCTTACAAAGACAGTTGTGTGCGTTGGTGGAGAATTATATCAAATGAATCAAATAAATCACAAACTACACATTTCACAATCCTATTACTATTTGTTAGATGAAAAAGTCCAAAATGTCTTCAGAGTTCTTTGTCAGTCACTGATTCAATGATTTCTATTCATTTACCATTCCTTCAAAATGTTATATTTTATAATGGAATCAGACTAAAGTCTGAACAAAAATCAATTGTTTAAGTAAATGTGATAATAAATATGTAACTGACAACGCCATCTATAATACCACAGAAAGTAAATATTTAGTTTACAATTTGAAATTAAAATACTTGCCATATTTCCTGAAGCAACATGACTCTTTAGGGACCTTTTAGCATAGATTCTTTCGTGACGCAGCAAGCTTGCTCTCTGGGTGAAGTTAAGTAAGCAGATTTTACAACTGTACCTCTGCTTATTATCAGTTTGATGAATTGTTGTTTCGTGTCGACGTAAAGTGCCTTTGCTTGAAAACACAGCATCGCACATATCACATTTGAGTTTTCCTGAAAAAGGAGTTCATGTGAAATTGAATAGTTTGTGATATGTCTGCCATAGATTTTTATATAATCAAAGGTTGTTATAAAATTTTTGCCTTCAAAAATATCAAATAATTCCAACATTTTTCTGAACTAGGGACAGAGTTCTCATTCTGAGATCTTTTACAGAAATGAAAAAAATGTAAAATATTGTATCTAGGCTACTTGTTAGAATTATGATCTTGGACTTTCAAAATATAACATAATTTCAAAAAATGGCATGACACCCACGTGTAAACCTACCATTATGACTGTTTTTATGTTTCATGAATTCGTTGTAACTGTTGAATGTAAGGTCACAATCCTTGCAGTTATATACTTGGCTGGTATCATGTATGGTCTTGTAGTGACGAGCTGCCCTCTTCTTTAAGGAGAACCCCTTCTTACAAATACTACATTGGAATGGTAGAATCCCTGGGAAATAAAAGCAATTGTTTCTTGATCCAGTATTATTTATACAAGTCTTTTTGTGGGTAATTAATCTATTTGAACACTTAAATTGGAAAACCAGAGACATCCTCCACTTTCACAAGTTTTACTCTCTCTGTGATTTATCTCTTCTATGGCTATTATACAGGGTGTCCCAAAAGTATGGGCCCCCCCCCCTAGGCGGACATACAACAATGTCCCCATAGTATGTATCATATTTCATTTTAAAGATTGTCCAAAGTTACATTGATTTGCCAAGTATCATGGTTCAACTCTCAAATGGGAAAAAGTTACATATATTTCAAAATGTACTGTTTTACCAAAATTAAAGTTTAGTTTTACACAAAATTAATAGTCGCCGCGTCTCACTAGGCCATGTTAACAGTAGCAATTCTTTCCAGATATGACCTTAAATACACTGCAAATAGGGGTGTGGCATTAATAATCCTCATAAAACCTTTTTAAGACATTTTAGAAGAGTTTCCTTGGAGTATCTGCCCTTACCCTGTTACCGACCTCATTTTACAACTCAATATCCATCCTCTCTTTAATGATATCACCCATATTTTTGGTCACATTCAGGTTAGCTGTGTTTCGAGGATACTGATTTTAACTTTAATTTTGGCCAAACACTAAGTTTTGAAATGCCTGTAACTTTTTCCCATTTGTAAATTGAACGATGATACTTGGCAAATCAATGTAACTTTGGATGAGATTTAAAATGATATATGACACATACTATGGGGACATTGGTGTATGTCTGACTAGGGGGGGGGGGGGGGGGCATACTTTCAGGACACCCTATATATACAAATAATTTGAGACAGGGGATTCACATGGTAAAATGGAAATTGTGAAAGCTGGTTGGAATTTCAAAAGTGTGACCATTTGTTACAATACTCTTGCCAAACACTAAATGGCAATTACAAAAAGAAAGTCCAAATGACAATTACAAACACAAAGTCCAAACAAATGCTTACCAGTATGTTCAGAGGTATGTACTTCAAGTTCATCTCTAGTATAAAATGCTTTGTCACATTTTGTACATTTGAATATCTTTTCCCCTTTATGAGTTCGCTCATGGGCTAGACATTGAGCTATGAACTTCCACCTTAATAGACACTTTGAACACTGAAAGGGTCTTTCTCCTGAAAGTAAAATCAAGTTAAATCATAGATACCAGCTATATACCTACAAACATGTAATTCTGAAATATTACAGGATATTTTGTCAAAACTTGTAGACATAATTGTGAACATATAAAATAGGATACCTGTACAATAGACTGATACGCGATAGATGAAAACATGGTCATTGACATAAATATCTCCCGCAATGCATCACTTCAAGAGGGACAAATTTTCATTGGTCCGTTGATTGAATCAAATTTCCCAACCTTCAAATCATATTTTTGCGGATTGTCAGGACGAAAAAGCTTCTACTAATATCAAGTTACAAACCTCACAATTGATATATATAAACATGAAATCAAGCCCACGTTATATACATGAGAACTTGTTTCATATTGAGTCATCGGGTCTCGACTTCCGGGAACAAAGTCTGTGATGTCACGATAAAACATTTCATGATGAGCATCAGTTTCAAAAAATATTCTTAAAATCACTTTCCAGTTTGTCATAATGACATATATTTTTATCAATTGTGCAAATAAACTTGAAATAGAAAGCTGAAATGATTTGTTCAAAATCGGACTCTGTATATTTCAATTGGTAAAAAACCTATATGTAAAATATCTGTACCAGGAATTTGAGCTCATACATACCAGTATGCTTGACAGTATGTTGTAGTACAGTGCTTCTGGCACTGCAGCTATAGCCACATTCCCTGCACTTATAGCGCTTATTAGATAAGTTCTTCAGTTGGTTGTCAATTTCACTACAAGGTTGACATTTGGATACATGTATGTTCAGTTCCTTTCGTGATGAGCTCATCACCTCACATCCATCTTTACAGCATCTGTTACGTGTAAGAAATGCAAATATATGCAGGATATATCAAGTACAGACATAGGGACAAGGGGAGATACCATTCAATTATGTAAAAACATACAATTGCATGTAGGACTTGAATGTAATGTATTAAGGTAGAACTTCACCGTCCATTATGCAGTCAGTACACGCATCTGCAGTCAGGCCCATATATGGGAGTTAGTTGATTCAAATTGCAGCGGTTGCAATAATTTTTATTCTTAGTTTTTATCTATCATTACCTTTATTTAGCAATTTAAGTACTTATAGATACTTGTAGGATGGAATAAAAAAAATTTCCCCACTGATTCACAAATTCAAAGCTAGTTTTTTTCTCAAGATCCAGACGGTGAATTTGCATAAAAAATTTGTTTGTTTTCCTATAGAATAATCAAAAAAATTTAAAATCTGCATTGTTTAATTTTTTAAAATAAACAATTCCTATTGAAAGCAATGTTAAATTCAATTTTTTTTCAAGAAATAACCATATAGTCAACCTTTCCAATTTTCACATACTTTGTTGTACATTAGTGTTATCTTTCACCTAGATTTTTTTCAAGAAAATCTGCATTGTAGAAAAAAGTCGATCAACAGTGAAGTTCTACCTTTAACCCTGGTGGGGAGGGGCTAAAAATACAATTAACTTAATTAGTAATTAGTAATCAGTAATTACAGATTAATGAATTAATTAATTAATAAATAAAAATAATACATCACTGATTTCTTCAACTACATTTATCATACTTACAACACACAGAAACCTAAACAATAAGATTTTATATACATTATAATTCAAATGGGTTTTACCTGAACATTGATTTCCCCTCCTGAGCCTCATGAACTAGAAGCTTGTTCTGCTCTTCTATTATGTGTTGCTTGCAATATGCCTGGTCTAGCTTGGTCTTACAAAATATACAGAAACCAACTGTTAACTCATCTGAAAAATTAAGAATCAAGTTACTAACATTGATGTCATTGTCAATATGATCAATAATAAAATCAGAATTAAGTTACCGATATTGATGTGATTGTCAATATGATCGGAGAACATGTCAATAAGTTACTAACATTAATGATTAATTGTCTAACGGGCATGACTGTGTCATTAATAACGAAATATGCATACCAAAAGGGTTAGAAGTTCCCCAAGTGTCTTCTACCATATTTAGAGCTCTTTCAGAAAACTTTGCATCCTTCATCTTGGATTTCCTCTCTGGCAACAATGGAGAAATAGAGCTAGTTGACATGAGATCAAGGTTGGCAGCAAATGTTCGTTTATTGTCTCTGCTGTTCTTATCATCCAAATTGTTTTCTTCTGTATTATCAGGATCATTAGTTTTAATGTGAGTATTGTCACTTTTACTGCCTTCAATAGGTTCTAGATTTGACACATTATCACCACTCACTGAAATTTCTTTGTTTCTATCTTTTACTTTGACATCAGATTTTTGTCCATTATCATGACCAAAATCGGCAAGATCTTTCTCTTCCACAGAATTTTGTTTCGCAACATCATTTACTTTATCTTTTTTAACAGCAACATCACCATCCTTATTTGATGTTTCTGTCACTTTATGTTGAACACTTATTTCTCTATTATCCTCTTGTTTTTCCCTACCATCTTCTTGTTTTTGTCTTTTATCTTCTTGTTTTCCCCTATTTTCTTCTTGTTTCTGTCGCTTGTTTGTTGTTTTCCTCCTTCCATCAGACTTCCTTTTATTGCCCCTTGATTTAATATCAGATTTGATTTCAACTGTTTTGATTTGTTCAGGAGCACTTGAGTTATCATTGGTCCTTATCAAAGTCTCAGAACTATTGACAAACTGATCGCTGAAATATTTAGCATTTTTCTTTACGCATCTCCTCCTTGAAAATTTATCTGATGCTGATGTACTTGCCATTTTGTTGTATAAATCACTTACTCTAAAACAAAAAGAGAAGAATGCAACAGCAAACTATAAAGTCTTGATTCCATTAAAATGGATTTAACTCTAATATAACATATTATTTTTAAAACTGCCCTACAAGGTGGACTGGGTTTGGAGGCTGAATCCTGGCTATTTTTATCTCTAGGTGGCTTTGACTAAAGGCAGGAGATGAATTCACCATAGATCTACACTAGCCTGCAGAGACTGAGACACAGCCTTGGAAGAAAATGAATATATCTTTGTTCATATTCATACTAAGCTTGGACCGAAATGTAAAATGTCACTCGACCTTTTGGTCATATCTGCACTTCACAGTTCAAAATCATCTTCTTTAGTAATTTGACACCATATTCTAATTTGCCTCACTCTGACCTTTTATTGTTTCTCAAAACATGATTTATCAAAATCAGGAAATTAGGGTTTTGGTTACCATAACTGTACACCAGGGAATTCAATTCTATGAGTTCAGTGCTGATATAAATTAATAAAGGGTACGTTTTCAAACTAAACACAGTGCTACCAGAGACTCTTATCTGGTAGATAGAATGCACAAATAAAACAAAAGTTTTGCTATTATAGGTGAAAAGTTCTCTTAAAATTTCGAAGTGATTTTACCTGTTAATTCTGTCATTGGTCCACCATTTTGGCAGAAGTTACACTGAAATACAAACTCCATGAAACGAAACACACTAGAAAAAACCATGGCTCACATTGTGCGCATGTGCAGCAAAGTTTAAATTAATCAGATTATTAGATTATTTTGCGCACATGAATTATTTGCTTCTGAGCACTTACCATAAAAGCTAACCACAATAAACAAACCTGGCAGAGACTACTACCCTTACTTCATTTTAGCAAAATTTCAGCCCAAACTTGTGACAAATGCATTATGCATATGCTGGTATGAAGCCTTGGAGACACTCATTTTGGTAAATATGATTTATGGTGTGTACTTTTCTGCAGTTTGTGGGAGTTTGGGACATTAAATGTTAAAATTCAAGAAAATATGCCAATTATACGACTTATCTATTATTTTGTATCACCACTATAGGTCCTCTTTCAGTCGTACTCAATTCCTATGTTCATCTATTTACTGAGAATCACGGACGTCAAGTACGTTCCTGGTGAAAACTGGAGCATAGATTATTTAAGAGGACTGGAAACAAGATGGCAGTCTATTTCAATTCTGCCAATTCGTTTTGGCCTATTTATCACTATTGACTCAGTTGTTCATCTAGTTGGTATCTCTCAGGAGATAGCTTTGTGTAAACTAAGTAATAAAAAGGTAGGTCATTCTTGTTTCCAGTCCTCTAAATAATCTATGCTCCGGCTTTCGCCAGAAACTTACTTGACGTCCATGCTGAGAATCACAATCTTATGATTTATTTTTTCAGAAATTATTTTCACTCACTCACAAAATTACGAGTGACAATATTTTCACTTCTTCCGAGTGTAATATAGACCAAACAAACAAACAAACAAAAACACAAATCAACTCACCATTAATCTTACTTTTTTGTGACGCAATTTGATGATCACTTTTGATGCATTATTTTAATAAAACATGTAAAAACAAAAATAGTGAAAAAATATCAAAAAATTTTCTGCAACATCCGGCGAGCCTCGTTTTAATAAAAGTACCCACTTATACGAACGATCAGAGTCCCAATGAAAGTTCGTACTTTTATTTCTCAGCAATAAACCGAACGTACAGTACACGCTACAAGTCACAAGGGCTTATAGCTAGACTTTACCCAATACCAAAATTTTGGGCCCCTAAAATCCAAAAGTGGGCCCAAATTTTGAAATTTTGAGGCCCATTTTCTTCAAAATTTGGCCTGAAACAAATAAGGCCTTAAAAGGCCCAGTAATGACCAAAAAGGCCCACTTTTTAGGGCCTGAAGGCCTTGTTTGGCCCAAAATTTTTTTTGCCAAACAAAAATTTTTTTGGGCCCAATTTTTTTTTTCTGGGCCCACCCAAGGGGGGGGCCGGGCCCCTGGGCCCCCCCCCCCCCCCCTAATCCGCCAGTGTGCTCTCCATATGGGCTAGCAAAAGAAACCATGCAGTTCCATTCAAAGTTATATTCGAGTGCGAAAATTCTCGTAACAGATACAAACATACGTCAATAATCAAACAAACATACGTCAAATTGACACATTTTAATCACAAAAACTATCCACTGGGCACGATTCCTCAAGATAAAGTTATCTCTCTATAATAACAGCCGGGGAATAACAGACGTGGCTTTGTCGTCACTAGGATGCAGTGTGATCTGTAGTGATTGATATTTCAAGATAATTCTATCATTGAAAATTACTGATACCTCGATAATAAATTAGAACGAAAGCAAAGTGCATCGTCCGATGGCGTTATAACCCCTACCCACCCTCTCAAACTGTAAGGGCGATCATTGAGACGATCATTCCGCCCGGTGATACTCATCCCGGGTACTCATCACATGTTTGTGTTTCTCTATTAATATAAGACTGAATACTGTTATCATGACAATGAGATGCAATGGTTCGTCAATGTCATGAAGTGAGATGATGATTAATCGAATAACTTCTTATATTGGTGTCTAGTGAATCACAATAAGTGAAACATTTTTATGTAGGATCTTATGGGGAGCAAGTTACCCCCTCTTTCTGTCCAATATATATCCCGTATAGATAGTACATCGTTGCTCATACACTCCCCTCCATAAGTTTGGCAACGTTAGCTCCCCCATTGAACTACGTGTTAAAGCCTCTTTACGTTTGAATTTTTATTTACTTAACCGGCGATTAAATAACTTATAATATTGATGGAAACGTAACTTGACTTTATTTCCAATACCTCCAAATTTTCTTAATTTTTTTCCTCAATAACAATATGTCGGAAATTGATGATAGATTTGATGAATTTTTGAAAATCGTCATTCCCATGTAATCCAATGGGAAATGGAGGGTTCGGGGCAAATCAGAAATCAGGATATCTTTTCAGCAAAATATATTTTTACAAAGAAAATTGAATTGTCTAACTTGTATGTACCCTAAGTGTTTAGTTTATTTCATGAATACTAAAGTTATAGCGCTTCAAAGTTGAAAATAATTTTTCGCCTCCTGTGTTATTTCAATGGGAGAGTTTTTTTGAAAAACAATTTTGACTTTAAAGCCCTATAACTTTGTTGAACCTGAAGAAACATATCACTATTTTGTTAAATAAAGGTAGAAAATTCAATTGCCTGCCTAACTCGTATTTTTGCAAGGACTCGGATGGATGGATATTCTGTCATATGACTTGCGGCAAACCTACCATTTCCCATTGGTTAACATGGGAATGTCGATTTTAAAAAATTTATCATCAATTTTCGACTAATTGTAATTGAGGAAAAAAATCGAGGAAATTTGGAGGTGTTGGAAATAAAGTCAAATTACGTTTCCATCAATAGTATAAGTATTTTTATCGCAGGTTAAGTAAATAAAAATTCAAAGGTAAAGAGGCTTTAACACAAAGGTCAATGGGGGAGCTAAGGTTGCCAAACTTATGGAGGGGAGTGTAAATATTGAATATTGCAATTGAGCATTGATTTCCTCGTTTTCAGTACCTGAGTACCCCCAGAGTCTCAAATTTTAATTGAGATATTTGAAACATTTTTTCATAGACCAGCCAGGAAAAATAAACTAAACACTTTTGTAATTAATAACATTTTTCATTTCCCAGGAACTAATCCATCAGAATCCACTGAAATCTTGGAGAATATTCTGGTAAAAGAGCGTATTCTTCAGACTAATATATAAAGGTTTCCTGGATTACACTGTGGAGATGTTAGAAGAATCACCCTTGCAAACTTTGATGCAATTAAAATTTATAATTCTCATAGTGAAGACTAAATGCCCAATATTCCATATATTTGACCAACACTCATTCTTCCTGCTCCCAAGCGCTATACAACTTTCAACAGTCTCATTCTCTTCTTTGAAAATATATTTCTAGGGATCGCCTGATGTCATTTTAAAGTTAACAGGTCCTATAAACAGAGTTGAATTTAGACAGGTTTTGAATTGTAATGTGTAGTTGTATTGGCCTTTCAAAATCATGTTAACCTCAGTTTCACTTAAAAAAAATTATGATCGCACATAAACCAAACTACATGTTAAGATCGTCGATATCATATGTAAACACAATACTACGTATACACAGATACGACTGAAATCTCAATTTTAGACCTATAGTTAAATACGTTAACAGATAACGTATGGATTATCCTAAATAGACGAACTAAGAAAGTGACGAAATAAGTTGAATTATCCCATGGTAGGGCACTTGCAATTTATACAAAGTCTTGTTTAGTGAACATAACTGTAAAGATTAACGACTGAGAGCAAGACCAGAGGATACTTTATCGAGGGGGACAGGCTACATGTCATTGCCATACCGAAGATGGAATCGCTCGGACCATTTGCAGTGTTGACTACGAACGTTAACCTCCAGTTGTTGGCTGACGTGACAAGAGACGGTTACAGAGGTACGGAATATAAAATCACAGGACCTGATCAGGTGGTACAATTATGTGGCTACCTGGGTACACGTTGTACAGGGCGTCTCTCGCCCACATCAACAATAACATTGGATATTATCTCAAGAGAAGAGGCAAACATACCCCCAAATGCAACATTCTTCGCCTATGCATACCCAGTATATGGCTTTTCAGACATTTCCAATGATAAAACTAAGGAGATTGATTATTCAGATCCAAGATTCTCATTCATCGCATTTGGTGGATTTATTTACTTCAATGGCCGGGGTAAGGTTGTGCGAGTTACTTCAGTAGCTCAGGGGAAGGGCTTGTACTTCGACCCGCCACAGAAGCTATCGTGTGTGATGGCAATGAAGTTAAAGAGAGAGAACAGATTGGAGCCAATCACGATAAGTCAACTCTCGGAACCTGGCCTGACACATTTCTGTTGGCTTGCCCCCGATGAGAACTTTACGGAAGATCCCGATGACGACAGCAACACACACGGAGCTTTCTGTTACATCCACAAGGACGCTGACAAACACCAAGTGTTCACAGTCAAGCCTAAACCGGACGCCGAAAGTGACGACGAAAATGACGACGATGGCGAATTGGGTGCATATGCAGGCGCTACAGCACCACCATTAAGTATCACTCGAAAGGATAGCGTGGCAGTGACTCCATATTCCGCTATTAATCTCATGGACCTCTCTATTAACGACACTGACACATATACAAAACTTACAAACGGGGACTCAAATCAGCCAAAGGAGCTTGTTAGGAGACTTTCATCTGTCATGCTATGTAAGGTTTGCCTCGATGAGAATATCAAAGTGGTGTTCCTTCCATGTAGGCATATGGCTACGTGCTCTACATGTGCGGTGGAACTAGACCTATGCCCTATGTGTAGATGTAAAATTGAAACAAAAATAGATGTTTTCTTATGAGCATAGAGTGTAAACTTTTAAATAACCACGTCCAATGATCTGCTCCACTGAGGTGTGACAGACAACATCATGTAGAGGATTTTCATCTCAGCACAATGGATAAACGGCCTCAAATGACTTTCAAAAGAAAATGTGTGAAACAAAAGGTTCAGTTCCTTTAGGGAATTATTTTACGAGAATCCCAAAACTCCAAAAGGACTAAATAAGACTCTACCTGGGAAGTTATTGCACTTAATGTTTACAAAAGTGTAACAATTTGTTACACACATCAATTACAAACGCTGGTCAAAAGAAAACATTAGCTATAACAATAAACATAAACATAAAGTACAATAATCTCCAAAAGTAACCAGTCCTTTAACACTACAAAGTTAATGCAACTGAATTTAAATTTTGAAATCTTGGTAGGCCAGCAATTGATATTACACATAGATGAATAATTGATAAGAGTCATGTAAACCAAAATGTAAACATAAACATGACATAGTACATTACAGTCAAGGATTGTGATTTATCTCTGTACATTTTACTAACACTTATCAGTAATATTTGTACAGTATGTATAAGGCCTGAATACAATTATAATATCACTGCTTCGCGCCAATAAAATATAGTCAAACTTACATATTAAAGTGATTGATAGATTGCATATTTCAACCTTTACCCACATTACATCTGCGAACATACATATCTTAAGATCTTAGGGCTGATTTTGAAGTGTAAAATAACATTCAACGCGGCCCTTAAATATACATGTAATGTACACATATTGATAAGGGCTCTTCACATTTTAAAACTTTAAAACTCCTATTTGAGAAATGCACATGAACATTTCATTTACAAATGTAATGTGAAGTAAAATAATTTACTGACATATTCAATGACTAAAAAACATTTTTGAAAGGATTTTTTTTAAATATTTTTATTTACCAAGAATTAATTTGAGATATTTTGAAGATACAACTATTATGTACATGATTTAAAATAAAATTTTATTGCACATGCTTGTTCTATCCCAATTTAATACTTCCCAAAAAACGTGCACATTTTTTTCACTATTTCTGAGGAGATATTTAAATTCCCCAAATAGCGTACAGTATTCATGTTTTAGTACACATTTTGTACATTTCTTTATGTTATTCCAAAATATTATTATTAATATAACAAACAAATAATAGCTCTATAACACTAAGCAGTCATGAGTCATTTCACCCCTTTGTATTTTGTACCTTTGTATTTTGTACCTTTGTATTTTGTCCCTGTAGTTTGCTATCTTTAATAACAGTGTTTTGGACGAGTTCAGGACAAGTTATGTCATCACTACAGGGGGAATTATTTAAATTGGTAAGACATCTAATCTTCAGTCTGCTAAGAGTTAAAATGAACTAAATGCTTATAGTCCCACAACCAAATGCAAAATATGCGTAAAAGTAATATTTGTTAATCTGAAGTGCAAAATGTGGTATACAGTACATGTAGTTGAATGCATGGAAATAAATATAACAGTAAACCATAACCAAATACAAAAATGTACAGTAAAATACTGTGAACACCATTTTCTTTGAACACCATTTATTTTTGAAAATAGGGAGTCAAAACATATGATGATGTATTGTTAACCCTCATTGATATTTACAATTTTTGTTATGGTTTTTTAGTAAATGCTTGGCGCACTAAAAGAACTGTTGTCCTAGGGACAAGATAATAGGGTATAAATTGGGTATTTGTTTTGATATTTTTAAAATTCAGTTTTTTTAGCATACCAGTTATGCAAAATATTTTCCCCATAGCATGTAGCCACATAGGTTGTATTCATTACATTTATGGAAACCCCTTTGTGGTTTTGAATTTTTTTCAGAAATTAAAAATCTATTTACATCTTAACTACTATACAGCATACATTAGAGATACATTTATTAAATGTTATGACTTAGTTATTGCTGTCAAACGCAAAAACAAAAATTTGAAAAGGGAGAAATTGCCCAGAATAACATGAATCAAAGCGGCAAAGTAACATTTCAAAACATGCTGGATAAATATGAAGAAATCATCAGGCATTCCACAAAGTGAGATACAGATATAGAATAAAGATAACAAAAAAACATCACCTCAATTATATTTAATGTATCTTCATGGCAATTCCCCTACTTTTCATTGCATTCATGCTATTATATTTCATGCTATACATACTTATTATATTTTCATATAATTAAGAGGGATTGAATATAGGTGACTAATTACTATATGTGACTTGGCCTCATCTTCCAAACAAACCCTATGTTCATGAACTGTTCATGAACTACCTCTTGATTCATGCCCATGTAAACAATGAAATGTGACTGGATTATTGTATATAATATAAACCATATATATTGTAATACAGAGTGTCACACCTGACCTATCACATATATATTGTATATATTACAGCACCTGCAGCATCTAAAGATGGATTATGGACATGAGGATTTGTGATATGACAATCAACATTTATACACGTTTGTCTATTGGACACAAACAATTCCGGAAGTTTTCCACTCTCATACTTTATTGCAACTAGAAAAACTGCAACTCCCATGAATAGCAAATCCCACTGGACAAAACATATTTTATCAAATCACTTGTTATTTTGAAGATTACTTAAAGAAATAAGCAGAAGTATTGTCTTGTTTTGGCAAAATCTACATCCATGACATGACTTAACTCAATTTTATAAATTTCTGCTTGAGTGGGGTGCAATCTAGAAGGCATTGACCAAATCAGGTATTTTCGATATGTGAAAGATTCCTTATAAAAATGGGAGCAATTTTGAATTCACTAGCCTTCTTGAGCAGAGTCCTATGCCCACATGGGTTCAGTACATATATTTGAGATTGTAAGAAAGATTATTAGAAGGTCAACTGTACATATTGCTTGCAATTTTATCACTCCCTATAGATCTTATTCTGCCTTTGAATTTTGAATTCAGGGCTCAATATCCCTCCTAAACTTTGTTTGGTGGGATAATAATCAAAACTATAATAATGACCTCTGTTTGAAAAATGCATCAGTGAACAGTCATTTTTCAACATAGACTGTATCAGATCATGTATTGAATCATTGTGTAAAGCACTTTGATTAAAAAATTTAATTCCTAAAATATATTAATATCTTTTGTTCTCAGATCTCATGAGCCACGGCCTTGAATCACAAGCTAAAGGTCCTTATTAAGGCCTTGAATATCCAGCTATACATGTCATGTATGTTCTTTTTAATGTATTGGACCTCTAGCTATAGGTCAGGTTTGAGGCCTTAAGAATCTAGCTTTAGGTTCTGTCTAGTCTAAGGCCTTAAACATATAGCTACAGGTCCTGTTTAAGGATTTGTAAGTTTCAGGCCTTAAACGTTTAGCTATAGGTCAGATTTCAGGCCTTAAACATCTAGCTAAATGTCCCATTTAAGGCCTTAAACATTAAGCTACAGGTCCTGGTTAGGGCCTTGAAACCCTAGCTAATATGCCCTATTAGTTAATGAAGCCTTTCTTTAATGAGCATCACATAAATAGGTTGTAATAAATGACTCTGCTAAAATGTCATAAGAGTAAAATCTAAAGTGTCATCTTTCTTGAGGTACGATTAGTCCCATTTCTATTATGTACAGCAATAGCAATCAAAATCCTAAAGATGGGACTATAGTCAAGTATGTCCATTTTCCCATTTTATATGAGCCATAAGCTAAGGCACCTAGAATACTTGCTTTTACAGTCCAAACGCACATCTTACTCAGAAGTGTGGTTTCTGGAACACTGAAATCAGATTTTGAAACAGATAAGTATTTAATAGTAAAACTCATGCACTGCAACAATGGCTGATATTTTATAGTAATGAATCATGTATGGATATCTATAAATTGGTTTTGTTATTGAACAATTATTCTATATTAAGCAACTGCATATTAAAAGGACAGTTAGACCAGTGAATATATGAACACCCCTCAATGTGAACACTTTTTGGTGCCATTTTATGTGCCATAAACGTTCATGTTAAAAAATTGAAAATGTGAACACCTGGAAAGCCTTTTGGCTGGTCCCATTTTGGGATTAGATAAGTTTTACTGTACTTGGCCAATTGCCCAGCGTCAATGAAGGAGGAACAACTCTAGGAAATTTGAAATAACAATTTATTACACATACAGAATTAGCACCTGAGCACCAGAATGAATCCTACCTGAGTAAGCTATGTAGATCAATATGAGAATTCCAATGCTCCTTTATGCCCGGGGCATGCCCTATACCTACAACTCCAACTACCACTGCTGGAATGTATCCTAAAAACACGAGCCTCAGGAGTGAATGCACAAAATCCATATATGGTAATGGATGAGGAGGAAATAAACAAAAGCCATTTATGATAATGGATGAGTGTTCAATTGTGGAAGTTGTGTTACACAGAGGGTAATTAATGATTTTGTAAGGGAAGAATGTTACTTTTCAAGTCGATTAAAATTTTATATAGAGGGGGTTAAACTGTGACAATTTTTTTCCACAACTGTCAACATTATGTCACCATCTCTAAATTTAACAAAAAAATAGTTATCCTCAATTTTCTCACATGGTGAAACTAACATGCAAATTGCCATCACCTGCCATTTATTACAGACAACGAATGCCAAATACCAACTGCCAAACACCAACCACCAACTGCCACCAGAAACTATAACAATATGTAACCACTTGTGGTGGTAACATAAAAAGCTGACTTCTCCTAAATGGGCAAAAGTCTGAAAGTTGGATACAGTAAAACGATGTCCCCAAAAATAGATATGCGTATTGGTTCAGATAATTGGCAATTTTCATTATTGACAGACAGAAGGACAGAAGGATTGACAGACAGATGGATAAGAAGGCAATTCAATAAGCACCACATGAGCCAAAATAATAGAGCACCTTTGTGGAAGAAATGTTTCTATACCTGACTCAGTTTCTGTTGAGATGAGAGGGTGTGCTGCTGCCCTGAGTGAATGGGTTAAGAACATATCTCTCTCCGTCACAAACACCTTACTTAGCAACGGAAACTCTCCTGTCATCTCCTTCAGCATTTCCTCAAGCATATCTTTGTTCTTACATTTCTCAACTTCTTCTTTGCTTAAATGTATGAAATAAACATGTTTTATTGAAAAGCATTCAATGATATTAAATCTATAGAACATATGAATACAGGCAATTTGCATTCCGAAAACTGTATTTAATTTAAAAGGACAAATGCCAAATGTCTTGAATACACATTACTCCTAGAGTAGAGAGCAGATTAGTTAAACTAGGCTAGAAGTGTGTGCTAGTTCCAAATGCTCACCTAATTGGATCTTTTGATGTGAGCATATACCAGGCTAGCTTCACTTTCTGCCATAATGAGAGTGCTCCAAGAGCACGACGCAGAGTTATGTTGATTGGTCGATCACCAAGGTGCACTCGACAGCCTGGAACCTGCTGAGCCTGGAATCAAAAACTTGTTACATTGAATAATAGATACATAATTCAAACATCTAGAACTTCATGTTCTGTAGCAGCAAAGTTCATTGAACAAACATTTTTAATCCTCATCCCTTATTCAAACCTGATGCTTTCATTAGTATCTACCAACATCTCTCAATGGTCTTCTGAAATCACAGTCCCTCCCATTTTTATCTAACTTATTTGCTAGATGGAAATTTTCATTTTAAGAGTCTTATGTATAAAGTCGACAATGCCCTCATTCCATCATATATAACAGACATATTCATTCCTTATAAAAGAGTCAATATTAGAAATACGCGTTTTAACAGAGACTATATCATGCCTATTAATCATCCCAGAAAATCACCAATATACAAGATGGTCGAGATATGGAACAATGTACAACGTGATCAGCCTTATCTGAAGTCCCTTCCTTCATTGGCCTCCTTTAAAAGGAGACTAAAAATCGAAATGTTCCCTGGGATTATATCTACTGTGTCCCTTAATATTCTAAATCGCAGGCAAGAGATGTACCTCAACAGAGCCAGAGTCGACCTTATTTTGAAGACCCAATTGATATCTCACAACTGGAATAATGTTGACTCCCCAAACTGTGAGTGTGGGTCCCCTGAGACCTTTAGACATTTATTTTTTAGCTGCCCCATGAGAATGAATAAACTCCATCAATTCAATGAAGCCATTGAGTTAATTGTGGATGATATATCACGTTATAAAACCCAACAGGATAAAATTGATTTATATCTCTTTGGTGATCCCGAACTCACCCATGATAAATTAGACAAACTATTTCAGTTGACAGCAACATTTCTTTTAGAAAACTGTTAATGGTTGTGCATGGTTGTACATAATCTGACTACCTTAGACCCCACTTACTCAACCCCTTTGTGTAATTGGTCGCCCCATCTATGTTGCAGCAGGTCCCCGTCAGTACACTTCATTTATAACATGCCACATCTAAACAGTGGGTGTGTTTTATTTTTCTTGAATTTTTCGTATATTTATATGTAACATTGTAATTGAAAGCGGACATAAAATGCCAGAAGGCGATTTGCCGCATGATTGTGTACTATGCCATGAAAAATATATCAATGAAATAAACCTATTGTTTAAAAAAAAAAAAAAATGGACATGCATACACTTGTACCTTTACTAAACTAGACAGGTAAGAGCTAGACCTATACTCTGACTGGTATATACCAACCTCTTTAAATGCTCGTCTAAACTCCCCACCTGGTGCCATGCCAAGCTCTTTGGTTAGATGGGCAGACATACTCAGCAGTAAGAGATGCATGATCCCCTGCAGGACGCCACTCTGCAACAGATATGAGAGGATTCTGATTTTCTCAGTATGTAACAATCTCTCCTAGACTTCTCAGTGTGAATCAATTCTTGTGGATTGTTCTTCTTATCTGTACCATTGCTTTGTGTAAATATTGCTGTATTAAAACTTAAAGCGCTACATTAATCTTCTCTTCATTGTTATTATGATTTGCACATTTTAAGTTTCAATATCATAAGGTTTTAGATATTTTCTTTGAAATTTATCTTTGGAGATTTTTGATTTTTACACGTTAAAATATATAAATAATCTCATTGAATCTTTTTGCACTCAATTAACAGCCCTTAAGGATCGAAAATAACAACAAAGTCTCACTAAGTAATGTTCATAACTTTTCAAATGATTGAATTTTTTATATTAAGAACCCGATGTAGTCAAACCTGAGGGAATCATGAAAAGCAAAGGATTAATGGTACAGCATAATGACTGTAAATGTACATGTATACGAGGAATGATTCAAAAGTAAGTCTGCATCTTTAATTAATTATGTCAATTATGTCTTTATAATATTCACTCAGGATAGCAATCACCCTCATCACAACCATAGTGTGTAATTTAACAGAAATATTTACTTGTTGTATTGCTGCTTTAATTTTCTCCATGTTGATGTCTTTTGCCTCCTTGAGTAATGTTTCCTCATCCATTCTGAGTATGTTTACCCTACTACTACATAGTTCTACCATGACCACATCAGGCTGAGTAGCCTTTATCACCTGAAAAACAAATGCACAAGTATTTATTGTTGATACCAAGATTTTTGAAACCCCAGTATCTCTGTATCCGGATATTTTGTAACAGAGATCAACCAAGATCTGTCAGAATCAGTTTTTGAATACAATACCTTAGAGCCTATGTATTTGCATTTAAGATGTAATGTATCTCTATTAGGGATAGGATAATTATATTCAGCCAATCTCTAACAGTACTGTACATGTACAGTATCATTTTGGCTGAAGCACTGCATGATACCTTGAAATATAGAACCGTATCGTTCTCAAACAGTACCATCAATACTACCATACTCTTAATGCACCCTATGGTACCATGATTTTAGAGTGTTGATTGGGTGTACAATATTTGGGCAATATTCAGACAAAAATAATTAACACCTGCAAACTGCAATTGTGGGTTTGAATACAAGCCTGAGAACTGAGACAATTGTGGCATTTAAATGTTACCTTAGCAACATCTTCCTGACTGCTCTCACTAAAATGAGCTGTTCCCACCAGGTAAACCTTTCCTCCATCTGGTGTTTCAAGGACAGAAACAGTCTCAGGAAGCTCAGGATTGGATTCTCGCATCAACACTCTGGGATTTGACAGTTCTTCCTGCTCATCTGAGACCTCATCAGATTCATCACTTAATAATGAATCGGAATCTGAAAATCAGCAATGGTTTGAATTACAGTAAAACCTGTCTATTAAGTGGAAGACATTTGGTATCTCTAAAAAGTATTATATTGTAAAAAGTATTCCGCTTGGGAGGCCACTAATAGAGGTTTATCCAACATTAAGTCAGTTGGATTTGGAACTCAAGAAGTGTTCCACTAATAGAGGTGTTCCACTTCTAGACATGTTCCACTTTACAGGTCTCACTGTACAATGAAGGCAAAATAAAGTGCATGTACAGTGTGAGTGTGACAAAAAATGTTAAACTACAGCAACACAGGCAGAGGATATGTACTCAAATAATTATAAATTATATTAAAACCGCTCCACTAAATGGTTCAGTGGTTCTGATGGCAGAGAACAGCAGCCGCAGTTATTAGCTTACCACAATTAAATACAGTTATCATTGTTAATATAGTTATCATGTAAAATCAAATGGAGAAAACTATGTTTTGCAGAATGTGCCATGTTGGAATATAAACTATATACCCAGAATAAGTAATTACTATACCTTCATCTTGATGAATAGCTTCATGCTCATCTTGCAGATCCTTCTTTTCACCCATATTGCTTTCTGCAATCAGATAATAGGGACAATCAGACCATGGTGCATTTATTCATTGTGATCTATATGTCTAGCCACACTTTAAGCATTCCAGTTAAAAGCTATTACAGTGCTAGCCATAATAAATAAATGATGAGTTTTCAAACTAAATAGAGTGCTCCTACCAATAAATGGATTTGCCTAAATGGGAATCTCCCCGACCTAGAAGTCACATTTTCAAAGAAAATTAAATTTTCAAAGTTGATAAACTCTTTTCAAAACCGCATTTGTAGATGTAATTTTATATGCAGATTCCAGATATGACACCAGTTTGACTGAATTGTGAATTTTTAATGATGTAAATCAAGATTATTTCTAATCGCATCTAGGATATTCAATGTTAGTTGCTTGATTTATTCATTGCCTGAGTGATTGACAGATTATCAATGTTTGTTTGTTTTGCCAGTTGGTTTATTGATAGATTAGTTGATTGCTTGGTTTATTGTTTGCTTGATTGATTGTATGACTGGTATGTTGAGTTGGAGTTCATTTGGGCATTTTGAGGAATAAAATGAAAAAATCAAATTCCTAAGTCCTAACCCTGGTAGGAACGTTACGTACCCAGTCATCAAGGTACATTTGGTATGGCATTGGTCTTATATTTTATTTATTTATTTTATTCTTTTTATTTACATAGGTGTGTGAACCCAATATGGTGGACATTGGTCTTATATTTGAATATTTGTAATGGCTTTTGGGGCGTCATTTTAGTTGGTATGGGAACACATTGAAATTTGGCAGATTGGTATGGAAATATATTGATATCTGGGGGTTCAGCCTAGGACCCGCGATAGTGGGAAGATCAATACTAAGCAATAAATATCGGGTTTGGAAAGATCCATGTAGAATTTCATTTCTAGACGTATACTGCACATGTGTCCCGCAATCTGAGGTCTTGAAGCGGAGCAAGTAGCATTTTACGAATTTTATGAATTTTGCAGTACTTACATTTGTAGTATTATGTATAGGATATCCTATGATTTTGAGGGATATCATTTTTATCCACGAGTTGATATCAATATCTGGACGAGTGAGCGTAGCAAATTAGTGCAGATATTGATATTAACAAGTGGATTAAAATGATATCACGAAAAAATCATAGGATTTTCTAATTATCCCATAGTTGAGGTCAAATCATCCCATAGTTTACCTTCCTAAGCATTTCACAACAACATTCAGTTTTATTTGTCTCAACTAATTACTATTAGCCAAAACATTAATCATTTCCATATTTGTGATTGTGACGTCATGAAATCACGATGTAAGCATATAACATGTAACCATGTAACAATGTACGTCACATTTGCGGGAGTTTTCAAATCAGTGGAAAAAAGTGATATATGTGGAATATTCTCCGTATTCCACAGATATCGCTTTTTCCAAGCATTTGCAAAATATCGTTAATATATATACGTGTTATTCTACAGATTTGACCTCAACTATGGGATAACTTGCCATCATAATAGCAAGATTGAGATATGTTTTTCTAGATCGTTAAGGATGTTATGTCGGGCCAGTATCACTGCCAAATCTCAAAATTCATGATGAAGATGTGTATTATCCATCTGAAATTATCGAATCCTGTTACCACTTTAGATTGTGGTCCACAAACGTAGTTGGGGTCATAAAGTGGTGAACATAAATAATTACTAACACTATGAAAAATACATTCTGTCACATACGTCATAAATTCTTACCTCAGTGAATTGAGTGCTCTATTTTCTCCGTAATTTGTGTCCATAATGACAAATAGGAACTTAAAAATATGAAGTGAAATTCACATGTTAAGGTACAGCTGGAAAGTAACATTTTGGTAAAAAATTGCTATACCTGCACATGTTATTTTCTGGTACAAAATAAAGTATGAAGGCATGTATCAATTTCCTTGCTTTTTTCAGGAAAGTATCATTACATTGTCTTCTTTTAGAATATCTGGTAGGCGTTCAAAGGGAACTCCAGGGAATTCTGATATTCCACACTTCCTGTTTTTCCAAATTTTCTTTCAAAGTTTCCAGACAACACAGGAGTTACCATTGACCTGTTTCCAGGTTTACTAAAAGTAGACAGTGTAATGATACTTTCCTGAAAAAAGCAAGGAAATACACACATGCCTTCATACTTAAATATGTACCAGAAAATAACATGTGCAGGTATAGCAATTTTTACCAAAATGTTACTTTCCAGCTGAACCTTAATGCCAACTCTTCAAATGTTGAGGTGATTTTGGAGCTCGATTCAACACAAGGAGAATTGGCTCCCAGAATGCAACATGACACGTGCCAGCTTTCAAAAATGCTGTTCCTCCATTTTGAAACCTGTCATGAGTAGAGTCAGTACGTCTATTTCCAAACACCCCCATCAAAAAATGTAGTTAGCTTGGCTGTACTGCACATCTATGCTATGATTCTATATATATTATGTGAATTATCCACTGTAGAATGCATTTGCAGAAAAAATTACGAAAAATTGTAAAAAATATCTGGGTTATTCCATTTTTACTACAAGGTATTTTAGGGGGGTAATTCCGAACAGGAGTTTTTTTGGGGGGTAAATCCGAACACTTGCATGGGGGTAATTCCAAACACTTAACTTAAACTTAATTGTTTTAATTATTAGATTGATGGTATATCATTATATGATACCCTTAACTTATGATACTGGATCCTGTCACCCCTGCATATCAAGAAACCCAAATTTAAATCATTTATTACTGACATCTATTTATTTAAATGCACAGAGTTTGTGGGGTAATTCCAAACACTAGCATGGGGGTAATTCCGAACACCTAAATCATCATAATTGATTATTTTATTGTAAGATTGTTGGTACACATCATTATATTGTATCTTTCAGGCTATAAATATTATGTAGAGGTAGTAGAGGTACTATTATTCAATTCAATGATCTGCTTGCCATTATTTGGAACCCGTTCGTGTTTACCCCCCTGTTTGGATTTGGACGTATTGACTCTAAATAAGGATATGATGTTGCATTCTGGGAGTCAATCCTCCCTGGATCATAAACATGGCGATTCACGAAGACATTAGTTCGATTTGGTAGGAATTTAGCTCATTGTGACAACTTTTGATGGTTGAGGTCATGTCTCCGACTGTAGGATGCGATAACATTTGAAAAAAACATCAATAATTTTGAAAAAAAAAGATTCCGCGTTCGTAGTTATAATGATAATATGAAGGAAATTCTTTTCACTGTGCTAACCCCCACCAAATTTTGTAGAGATCTAGTGACCCCCCCCCCCCCCCCCCGAGGACACATTGCAAACTTCTCATACCAGAGAACAAATGTATTACCAGGGTGATAAAACCATGTACGATTGGTCAGATCATCGCATTTAAAATGTTGCCAAAATCTGAATGAATATATCACTAAACTAAGGCTAAAATTACAACAAACCTGTTTGATTTTCATTATTCATGCTGCAATAGAAATTTCGATTGTGTACACATAAATTGATGACGTATTAAACGTGAGTTCCCAATAAATGTTCTAAATATAGTTCCTAAGTTCATTATCTAAATATCAATCAATTGTCAGGGATTTCAAATGAAGATTATAAATTCGAACTAGTTGCGTATTTCAATTTGACACAAGTAGTAGTATGACAAGTAGTTTTCAGTATAACTGAATTTCTTAATTGAGTGACTACTTTGCGTAGTGATTTATATAGGCGTGTGAATCCAATATGGTGGACGTTGGAAAACAAAATTGAAACCCAAAATATAGAACACTTTTCCAAATATGAATATATTGCAAATATGAAAAGACAACAAGAAATGGACAGTGGACCCCGGGGTAAACGAGGCTACACAGATTACAATAATGACCCCAGAGATTATCGTAGTCAAGATTTTAGTCGAGACAGAGGTCCAAGAATTGATTCAAAAATGAGGGATTTTCAAAAAATCGACAGATATCAAGACAGTGGTGACGGTTTCAGGTCGAAACGTCCTCGCGATGATCGAGGATATGATAATTATCCTAGACTGGAGAAGAGAACTTTTGATAAACAAGGGGAGCAAGAGTTTTCATCACTTGCAGTCACAAGAGCTGATGAACAAATTCCCGATGGTCAATTACGTGAACACCTTTTTGGACAGTTCAAAAAGTTTGGGGAATTCAATATCAAAATTACAAGAAACCAACATGGTAGAGTGGCATATATTAATTTTGACAAACCAGAGGATGCTCGTGATGCCAAATATGCTCGTCAAAACAAGTTATACATGTTTGATAAGCCACTGAGAATCGAAGCAGTCTACAGGAGGTATCATTATGATAAACCACAAAATTCAAGACCTTTACGTAGTCCAAGTCCGGTGCGCCAAGACACATATTCAAATAGAAGTAATTCACCAGGGTCAGCACGTAACAGAATGCTTTCAAGTAATCGTGATAATGGTCCAAGAGTTGACCGTAAATATGAGAGAAAAGAAGATATAAGAGATATGAACAAATTTTCACCAAGTGATCAAGATGGAAGAAAATTCCCACATCATTTGCATCATATTCCACCTGAAGATGACCCTGAAGCAACTTCAACTTTGTTTGCGGGTAACTTAGACCTTGATATTAATCAAGATGAGTTAGTGAAGATATTCAGTCAATATGGTCAGATTGAAGATATTGATGTGAAGAGACCACCAAGAGGAACGGGAAATGCATATGCGTTTATTCGTTATTTGAGTTTGGATGATGCCCATAGAGCTAAACGGGAAGTGTCTGGTCAATATATTGGACGTTATGAGTGTAAAATTGGTTATGGAAAAGCAATACCATCTGCATGTTTATGGGTTGGAGGCCTGGGTCCATGGATAAGCATGGAAACCTTGGAGACAGAATTTGATCGATTTGGTGTTATAAACAAAATCTTGTGGCCCCCAGGACGTGATTTTGCGTTTGTATTGTTAGGCAGCATTGATGCAGCACAAGCTGCTGCACAGAATATGCGTGGTGTAGCCCTAGGTGGACCTGATAATGTGAGATTGAGAATAGATTTCGTAGATCCTAAATATGCTACTGGTGAAATTGATCTCAATGCTAAGTTTGGCTTTGCGCCTAAAATACAGGAAGAACCTTCAAGCAGTAGGAGAAACAATGATCAGAATGGAAATTCCCGAGATCGTTTTAAAGATATTCGCAGGTCAAATAGTGACAGACGTCGTTATGATCAAGATCGACGCAGTGGACCCAAAAGCATAGAAAATGAATCAAGCTTTAGATCAAGGACCCCTGAAGGGAATGGTGATTATCAAGGATCTAGAAGACGATCAGATGAAGAGAATCATCTAAATGTCCCTGATGATCCTTCTAGGTCAAATGATAAACAAGATGTTTCAGTATTCGATCATGTCAACACATTTACAGATTTCATCAAATGCCTTCAAGTAGCATGGAATGGTGTTCTCATTATGAAAAATAGTGCATTTCCTGCACGAATGCATATTGTGATGGGAGATGTTGCTATAGTTGATACATTGATGAGGGACGCAACATCTACAGAGACCCCTATGTTACGCATTGCACAACGTTTACGTCTGGACCAACCTGCCAAATTAGAAGAAGTGACAAGAAAGGTTGAATGTAGTGGACCGAATAACCATTGTATATTGATAGCTGTGCCATCAACGAACCATTCTTTAAGTGACGCTACTCTTCAACAGCGCCCATTAAAGAACCTAGTGACGTATTTGAAGCAGAAACAAGCTGCAGGCGTGATTACATTGCCCCCTAACCCAACAAGGGAAAGAGAGCAGGGGGTGCTACATGCTATTCCCCCTTCAGACTTCGGCCAACAGTTTCTCCTTAAGAGGGCACCTAAGTTGGGAATCGAACCAATGAATGAAGATCATATTGTGATCGTAGTGACGCGAAATCAGTAAATCCAACCAATATGAACTTATTATATGTTGTGAGATAGTGACGTTTTGTGATAAATGCATGATAAATCAATCAAAATAACAATATGGTGTTGCCCACATCACAATCGAGCCCTGCGTATATAAGGGAGAAAAATTAGTTTAATAATTCATAATAATGAAGTGCTTATAAGCTTAAAGCTTCAAATAAACTATAATCATGGAATGCTGTTTTATACTAATATCAATATCTTATTCGAAATGGTGCAAAGACGCTGATCTAATCAGTTCGTGGAGAGGAATTGGAAATAATGTGGAACTTATCTGTGTCATGTAGAAAAAGAATCAAGTTTCGATTGGTCTTATCAGGAAATATATTAAATGAAGCGTGCCTCTGAACTGTGTAATGTCATATATCAAAGTGCCCATAGACTACATAAAATATCACATGTAAAATTTGTGGAGTCCAACACAGGCAACAAGCCAACAAATGTGAATTTGAAGAAGCGATATTCCGAGAACCTACAAAGATGTTAAACCCACGTTACAGTTGTTATAATAGCCAGAAAAGGATAGACCCCCATGAAGGATGTTATCAGCATTGTAACTTGACAGGCTGTCCCTATATGATTAGTTGTTGCTGTATATTACTGTCTCATCGTTGCTAGGCTATCACTGGGACCTTATATTAGAAGCTTAGCTGCTGGTACGTATTGTACAGTACTTAACAATGTTATTTTCAATTTTGTATTGAAAGTATTTTTCCATTATCCTTTTGTGTACAAGTTGTCTAATTATGTGTCTATGTTAGTTGTCACTTCTTTGTTATTATTCTTGATTATTGAACCTGTATGTTATGTGGCTACACATATATCATGTATGTTTGACAGGTGCTTAATCCTACCTTTTTAGTAAGAATGACCAATTATTTCACCATTTTGGAAGGAGGCAAATGTTTACAAAAGACTGATATTTGATTTTTTATATTCCAAAAAGGGTGCAATACCCAGTTGTCCTAATACTGACATGATCACTAATGATTTATCAATAATATTTACATTTTAAAATGTTTGTATATTAACCACATTCTTCTTTATTTTAGGAAGTCAACTTACTCATAATACTAAATTAAAGGCTCTTAAAGAAGTTTTGCCAAAAGGTGGAAATATTGGAACATTGAAAGTAAGTATCCAGAAGCAAAATACTAAATAATACCTGAGATAAAATCTCATTCAAATTCTATGCTAGAAATCTCCCTAACAGCAATAACTTTTTCTAATGGAACCCTATTAATAATTGAATAATATTAATGAGATGGTACAAAATTGCGGGGATCCTGTGTCAGTCCTAATCAATATCACCAGGTATTAAATTCACACCTTGTAATCTATTGTCCAAGATATAAATTAGATATTGCATCGGCAAGTGTTGAAAGCTGAGCTCCATGTAAACTGAGCTGGCATGTGTTTCAATTATCCAACCCCATGTTCTTTGTGATATGATTCTGTGCACACACAGTCACATGTCAGAGTTCCTCATAATGTAGCAAAAATTTTACAAATCCAATTACAAGGCATGAAAGGAAAAAACCCACACTTGCAGCCATTGTAATTTTGATCATGATAATATTCCACGCTTGATTTGATGAATCTTGGTGTCATGTTCTATCAGTCCAAGTAAAATATATTCCCTTGGTATATTTCCTATATCTCAAAACTAACAAACCAGCTTTATGTTAAATCAAGAAAATATGAATGATAAACATCAAAGACTTGTTTTTTGCAGGTGATACTTTAAAATTAACATCTGTGGCCTGAACAATGTTGTATGATGATGTGTTCATCCATATAAGGACAACTTATGTTGTGACGTATGCCAACTCAAGATACGTTAGATACAACAGGATTCTACACACACGTAACACTTGAATGACACCTTTCAACTCTTGAAATATGTAAACATGAGAAGTATGTATACTGTACACTTGATCTCACTCATAAGAATTTTTCATCTTTTCCATTTTCCATCCATTTTTTAAAATTAAAATCAAAGTAACATATTTACAGGCTGTAGTGGATATGACCCCCAAGAGGGAGTATTAGGTGCCACATAATGGTATTTACAATGATTTGTGAAATATTATAAGAAGTGTTCATGTAATTGTGTTAAGTCAGAGTTTCAAAACTTTGGTATTAATATAAATTGTCAAGTAGAACATATAGTAGTTTAAACAAAAAGTCTCCTCACCCATTGACTCAGTTTTAATTAAAAAGTGAGAGAAACACTTCCTAAGTTGGAGACTTTGTGTGTTACAATACACATGTTTTACTGTATGGTGTATTCCATCAGTGAGAAAAACAACATGTAGGTTAAGTATAAAGAAACTTTATCTGAACATATTCACTTTTCAGTGTGATCATCACTACTAAGCTTACTGTGAAATAATTCTTAGTACTTCTATTAATTAAAAATAGCCACTGAATTAAATACAAAACATAACTTTTTCACCATTCTTGTCTAAGTTTTTACACCATTTAGGTCCATTATTGCAAGAGTCTGCAACCAAGGGTGTATGTAGAACCATCTATGCTTGTTCTTTCAGGATTGTGTTTAGAAGATATACCAGGTGCTGAACAGTAATCAATCTTCAGTTCATGCAGTATGCTTTTCAGGTAACATATTATTAACTAGAGGGGGGCCAATAATGCTATATAGCCTTGGCCCCTCACAATCTATGTAAATAATTGTGTTGAATAATATGGAAATAAATAACAATAACCTAAAAAAAAATGAAAAGATAATGTCAAATAAACAGAAGAATACTTTGCTTATTTTGGTCAACATGAGATACAAATGGATGTGTTAGTTTAACTTGCTACCTCATAGATTAAAATAATGGAATGATATACAATTAAACCTGTTAAGGTGTTCAATTTACACAGGTTTATTGTTAGTATTTTAAATAGAGTGAAGCATGTTGACAAACACCCGCCACTTTCTATACATACATGTATCCTGTAGAAAAAAAACAAACCAAAAATGATTAAATGTGAATGTTCAAATTGAGGATTAACCATCCTCCAATACAGAATGACAGAACTCAATCTGGATCTTGGAACCCTGCAGTTAAATTATGTGGATTAATGATGAATTTTAATCTACAATGTTTCTCATTTACTATTTCAGGGTTCCAGCATAACAGCGACAGCAATCATGTCACAGTCGAGCAGTTTTCAAATTGGAGGCTTCAGTAATATCCAGCAACGAGTCGCAACAACCTATCTAAAGCTATTAGGATAGCGGCCAACATGTCAGCAGATCTTCAAATAATCTATGCTAGGTTTCAGCAGGAACTCAAATATGATCCCAGTGTAGAAATTACAACCAAAGCTGAAAGTCGGAAATAAGTCATCTATATTACCACTGAAGTTGAGAACTTAACATACGTCGATCCTTCAATCAATATGGAACTCTGTATGGAAAATGGATCAGCTTGATCATTGTGAATCTCGATCATTGATCATTGATCCAAGAAAGGATCCATGTTTCCATCATTATGTGGAATATGGGCAGTTATGTTTACTTGGAACTTGGAATTATTATTATTAGTAAATGTTGTGTTTGTCCCGATAAAAATGTTACAAAATGTGGAAAGTGACACATTTAATGGTAATATATTGAAAACGACAATAATGGAATAAAGGAATCCGAAAGTGTTAGTGAAATATGGAAATCATTGTGTACTTCCTACTCATGTGTTGTATGATGCATATCATATTATTATTCGCTTGTACAGTAAGCCGAAAGTGAATTTCGAAATTGAAAAAATGTGGAATAGCTTGAGCATTATTACTATCCTTATTTTTAGTGCAAGTCACAGCTAGCTCTTTATTTCAGAAGGGTGATGTGGGCATATTAATATAATCGAGGATATAACCAAAATACAATATATATTGTGTAGCCACGAGGAACCCATACATATATACTTAGTGCATAGTTTAAATGTTTTATATTTACTCTTAGTGTACATAGAAACGATGAAGAAATAATTATTATTCGCCAAGATCAGTCAATGTTTTCTCTCAAAAGACAAGTCCTTATTATAAAATGGCAACGAAAACAAAAAAAATACGAAACAGAGATTTATCTACAAAATATGTGACCTATTTTATTTACCAATCATTTATCGTTGAACAAAGACAAGTCCTTACAAGGCAATCAACTTTTAGAATGGAGAGTTGCGAGTATTTTCTTATTTTTTTTAAATAAATGACAAGTCCTTTTTTTGAGGCATTGACACAGTTTTTACAATAACAAAATCTATATTATTGGAATAAAATCACGTGGTAGTTGCCGAAATGAAGTATTCTTGGCTCCACCCTGAGCAGCTGTAAGTTATGGAGAACTAGTGAAATTTTACGTGGAGTTCGATGTTTGATGACCTATGATATCAATACTAGAAATCATGCGGTAGACTAAATCCAAATAAATAGTTTCAATTACAAATATTATACTGTACAATGCAAATTAGCAGTGGCAGGGCTGATCAGTTACCCCAGGGTTGGGTCAACCCATTACATTGCCCTGTTCCAAGTGCAAAATGGGTCTTGTGTTTCATCATTATAGTGAGAACCAATCTTGCCCAACTTCCCTACTCATTAACTATTACAAGTCAACCATCCCTGACATCTGTGCAAAGCATTTTTGTCTCGTCCATACCAGCCTGCACCAGACCCAGTCGACCCACCTCTGCAAATGGAATTGTTGAATTAAGAATTTTTGAGGAATCCTTGAGACCAGATTGATATAATTGTATGTAAATGGTAAATGCACATACAATGTATGATCAGATGATAGATTAGAATCAGAGTGACAAGGGTTTGAAACCAGGGGATCGTTTACTTATTGAAACATTCTGGTGAAAGATTAGGTGTAAAATGGTAAGGAAACCTAGATGATGATATTTTGAAAAATGTTTTGTGAAAGTATTGTGAATTACAAAATTCTAAAGTAGTATTGAAATGTTATCATTGGTGTGAAAGCGTTGGTGAAAAAATTGGGAATCTTTTATTCACAATATTTTGACAAACATGGTACAGGGAAAAGGCCAAATAAGAATTATGTATCATGAAAGGATACCTTGTCCAAAATGTGAACATCCTTTGAATACAGGGCTGAAGGTGCAAAATAATTTCTCCTTTATTCACTGTTCCACAACTAGTTACTTTGACGGAAATGCCTTCGATTTAAATTTTGGTTTGTAAATGAAGTTGCAGTTCTCACATCCAGAAAGAAACTTTAATACTTGGCCTAGTATTCAAAGATGGACATTACTGGACATTAAAATAGTTTTTGGTGTCAATTTCTTTTTTTAGATTCCCTCAATTTGTATGAATGATTGATATCTACATCTTATAACTTGTATGACTTAAGCATGTGTAATGGTAATGTATGTGTTGTTATGTTGTTACGGGTTTGATCTAGTGTAGGTATATACTGGTAATTGATGTGAAATTTAGCAGGATATATTACTATGTGCTTTACACCTATGGTTTTAAGGTTATCATTTTGCTGAAGAAACCAGGTGGCAAACGCAATTCGGAATTTGAAAATTATTATCTATTCATAAGTTTATGGACTCTTTTTCCAAATTATAGTAGTAGAAAAAAGAATCCAACCATTGAGAAAAGATTCTTTGGAGAATACTTTATGTAATTCTAGGTGTGGAGAATACTGTTTTTTAATACTTTAAGTGCTGAAGAATACTGTATTAAATACTAAGTGGAGAATACTGTATTTTTAATTGTAAGTGTGGAGATTTAATTAATACGAAGTAGAAAATACTGTATTCAATATTTAGTGAGGAGAATACCATAATTAATACGAAGTGGAAAATACTGTATTTGATACTAAGTGGAGAATACTGTATTTAGTACTTAGTGAGGAGAATACTGTATTTAATCGTATGGTGAGAATACTGTTTCAATACAAAGTGGGAATACTGTATTAAATATTTAGTGAAGATTGGGGAATACAATATTTAATGAGAATACTGTATTTAAAACTAATTGTAGAATACTGTATTTGATACTTAGTGAGGAGAATACTGTATTTAATATTTAGTTAAGATCAGGAACAATTTACCACTAAATGTGAATACTGTATTTAATACTAAGTGGAGAATACTGTATTTAATACTTAGTGAGGAGAATACTGAATTTGATGTTAAGTAAAAGTAATCTGCATCTGCATCTGGTGTCCAAAAAAAAACAGGACCGTAAGAAAGTTGAATAACTCGGTCAATTTTGCATATTGTGCCTTGAAATTTTAGAATTATTTAGTTCGTTCAATGTGAATTTTGATCTGAAAGTTTGATGATAATCTGTTAATTGTGTCAAAAACTACAGTCCTTTACAAAACATGCTCAAAGTGGGCACTTTTCCTCTCCATGCACAAACGAATTCTGCGAACAAAGTTGTTAATGACCCTGACCTATACACATTAATGTGGATGGTATTTATTGGGGTAGTTATTGCCCTCTTAAGATTGTTAGGGGCCTGTCAGTATACACAATGACTTGAGAAATCCTCAAAGATGAAAATTTAGTGGATTTAGATCTGGCAAATGAGCTGCCTATATGGTTTGCATTCTGCAACTGATGAGCTGACCACCAAAGCATTGCGTAAACCATTTCAGCATATCATTTGCAGTGTTGGGGTGGTGTTGGCTTGTTGAAACCACTGCTTAATTATCTCCTTAGATGTCCCTTCTGGTGCTTAGTGACCTCCAAAACTTGGTGAGAATTTACTGGTCCTTGTTCATGGTGATAGCAAGTCCCCAGTCACCTTCGAACCAAAAGGGACTGATGATTCGATGTTTCCTCATTGCCACCCAGGTAGTGCATTGTTCAGAATGCAATGGATGATGTAACACTTCATCAGGAGGAAGATAGCCCCAGTAGCAATTGTTCTTGGAACAAATTTGTCCATTCAGAAAGACATGTGTGTAGGAGGATCATCAACAGCTTTGTTCGCCGGATTGAATTGTGCATAGAGATGAGATTTTTTTTTTTTTTTTATTCATAGAATTTATTTTACAAATACATAAAGTACATAAACATTATACACTTGTAGTGGCTTTGCTGAAGGCATTATCAGCCACTTGAGATGAGATTTGCACATTTGGGGCATGTTTTGTAAGGAGCTGCAGTTTTTGACTCAATTGGTAGATTATTATCAAACTTTCACAACAAAATTCACATTGAATGAACTAAATATTTCTGAAATTTCAAGGCAAAATATGCAAAATTGACCGAGTTATTCAACTTTCTTACGGTCCTGTTTTTTTTGGACACCCTGTTATGTTATTATGGGACACATACACAGGTAGCAATTATCAAAGTAATTATCTTCTTAAAAGGAAACATGAAGATACATGATTTCCATATAAGGAAGTTTAATTGTTCCCTTATGTCAACATAGTTGAACATACACTTACCTAGATAAATATTTCTTTAAGAAAGTTATGTAATAAGGACTGAATGATTATTTGTAAATATTGTAGTGCTTTTACAAACTTGACAACGGAAGTGTTGATGTAAACAACAATCATTTGAGTTCTGTCTGAATTAAAACACTGTTCTATTGAGTTCTGTCTGAATTAAAACACTGTTCTATTGAGTTCTGTCTGAATTAAAACACTGTTCTATTGAGTTCTGTCTGAATTAAAACACTGTTCTATTGAGTTCTGTCTGAATTAAAACACTGTTCTATTGAGTTCTGTCTGAATTAAAACACTGTGTTCTATTGAGTTCTGTCTGAATTAAAACACTGTTCTATAAAATGCAGAAGAGGTAACATACATGCCATAATAAATACACGTAGTCCGAGTCATCCAATGGTTTGACAAAAAATACAGTTTGGTTTGGTCTTTCCAGTGTGAACTGAGATTTCAGGATTGACTGACTCTGAGATCCAATGCTCTGAAAAACAGTCTACAATGAAGTAAAAGGCTTACAGTTTCAGTATACAATTTACCCAACTAAAATTGAATGTATTTCAGTTAAAATCAAATTAATCTGAAGGTAGGAGACAAAATCTCAAAAGAATGCTAGAGTCCTGTATGTAGACCTTAAAGACTCATGCCAAAATATGTCAATTGTTTACACTGGGTAAATTGTATTCCTCTAACTGACCAATCCAAATTAAGCATATAGCACCTTTAAGTAAGTCTCTCTCATATGCAAATAAAGAATGTATTATCCCACTGTACAAAGTTTGAGTAGGGCTATAGAAAAGCCATTTGTCCATCCATCTGTACCTCTCTATTTGGTTCATATTTTATTGGCTCCAGCTTGATTTAGGACCCCACTAAATTTAAAATTATGAAATGCTGGAATCATTGTCATGTTGTAATGTTTTTTATTTACCCCTCCCCATCATACTCCTATGTTGGTGTAGGGGTCAACAAATTAGATTCCTTAGCAAAAAGATCTTAAGTGCTCACTGTAATCATGTACAGTAATTCTTTCATATTTTCTATTTGATGTTAGAATACATGAATAATACACCATATTCTCCATGCAATAAGTTATTGATTCTGTAGTAAAAGATTTGATGAATTGGATCGTAAAATGTCAATGAATAAAGGGGTACTTCAAATTCAACAGGTAGAAAAGTGCCATGTGATTGCAGGATTGTACTGAAAAGTATTGTTCTGATTGTTTGATTTTGAATAATTTGGAAATTTTGTCATTCAAGAACATTGGTTTATTTCCTTGAAATATCACAGGATAACATTGCAGAACAGAACAGTTCGTTCGTCCGTGTCCAGGCGATAACTCCCAATACCGGTTGACGGATATGGTTCAAATTTTATAGGCTTATGCCTTATGAGTGTATGACCTCTGCTCGAGAAGGAATTTTCAATATGGCTGCTCAATTCAAAATGGCCGCCATTTTTCGTAAAAACGTAATCGTTGATACCTCAAATACAAGTTGACGGATTTGGTTCAAATTTTATATGCTGATGCCTAGGGACAAAGGAATTTCGCACAAAAAGAGATTTTCAAGGTGGCCGCTTAATTTCAAAATGGTGGCAATTTTTCGTAAAAAATGTAATCTTTGATAACTCAAATACCAGTGAACAGATTTGGTTGAAACTTTATATGATTATGCCTAGGGACACAGTAGCTCTGTTCAAGAAATAATTTTTAAGATGGCGGCTAGATTTTAAGATGGCAGCCAATTTTCGTAAAAAACGTAGTCTTTGATAACTCATATACCAGT